TTTTCCTCTTTAAGGTGTATGGCTTTATATCTTACGGTGCATTAATTTGAATCTTGATTGTCTTACATTAAAAAGTTAAGAATTACTACTTCCAAGCCGAATGTGCATAACTTTAAAGCTTAAGGTGCACAACTTACCCTTTAAGGTACATGAATTTAAAGCTTAAGGTGCACAACTTACCCTTTAAGGTGCATGAATTTAAAGCTTAAGGTGCATACTTTAAATCTTGATTGCCTTACATTAAAAAGTTAATAATTACAACTTCCAAACCGTAGGTGCATAACTTTAAACTTTAAGGATGACAACTTTCATCTTTAATGTGAATGGATATAATTGATGTGTTGAAGATGCAAAGACAGCAGGGCATAGTGGAGAGGATGTCGTAGCTTTGTTTTTTTTTTATTACTTTTAAACCCCTCAATGTGTGAATTTGAACATAATCAACCGCAAATAAAATTAAAATTTGCAATCAACGGCGGCTGAAATCAAGTGATGAGTGTTAGATGGGATGGCTGTGATTAACTCACCTTGGAGAAGTTTCACATCTGATCCTTGTCTATATACATATACATATACATATACATATATACATATATATATATATATATATATATATATATATATATATATATATATATATATATATATATGGTAGTATTGACTCTTTGTATTTCAATAGATTAAGAAAGTAGATATGAACATATGCTACATTGTAACAGAGTCAGTAGTACTAAAAAAAAAAAAAAAAAAAAAAAAAAAATTGATGAGCTCTTCAAAAGTCTCCTCACATCTTAACCGTTAATAATCTTCTCCTTATAATTTTCCATTAGGAGTGATAAAAAAAAAAAAAAAAAAAAAAATCCTTTTAAAAATTTTCAATTCTCTTTAATTTATCATAAGAATATAGTAGTCCTTTAGAAAAATCAAATTTCTTATGCCCTTATAGTTGAGAATATTTCCAATTTGACAAATTGCAACTAGGAAAGAACATTATTTAATTGAGCAATCAAATAAATGAGTCACTTCATTTGAGGCCAGTAGACCATAATTTATCTCTTTCACCAATTTTTAAAGTAAAACTAATGGAAGTTCCTTAAGTTTGAGTTCAAATTTATTTTTTTTTAAAATGCCCCATTTCATTAGGACTGAATGACAATTAAGCTAATGATCAGCCATAGGTAAGAGCAAACTAAACTTTGCCGAACTAATACTAGGTTGAAGTAGAAGCAGGTAAAAATGATATTCATGAATAAATATAATTAGACTAAAGTTCAATTCTCACAAAGAATTAATACCGCCCATTTAAAAAAATCTCTTTATCCCACTAATTAAACTAGAACATCATTGGCATTCAAAAAAAAAAAACTAGAACATCATTGGCTTCTTAATTTCATTCTAGTAATGCATAAAATGATTTCGCCACTTTTGTCATTACATTATATAACGTTGCAAATTAAAATACGAATATAATATATTGTCTTCATATGGCAAGTAGCTTAGCGTCAATCTATATCACTGACCCACACAATTAATATTGGCACAGAAAAAGACTGCCCGAATTCTTATCAATTGCCACATCTATTCTGCATTATGGAATCTGGTCCAAAACTACATTCAGATTATTTGCAAGCAATTAATTTATTATTTACTTTCAGTGAACAGATTGTGTCTACTACGATTAACATATATATTATGTACTAGTTTTTTTACGCGCTTTGCGCGAATGGGATAATGCCCAATGATTATTTTTAAATAAGTATTTCAAAGTATACCAACGCAATATTATATTGGAGATGTTCATGCATATGTAAATAAATATTGAATTTGTTTATTTAAATCGGTAATTCAAAATATATAAATGCAAGATAATATTTATTGAATTTTCTAATCGATATTTGGTAGTGGTAGTTTTTCCCTACATGTTTCATGCATTGTGAGATGTGTGTCACAGGTTATCATGTGAAAGTATTGAACAAAATATTAATATTTATTATATTTATATAAAATACTTGGTAAATAAATATATATAATGTATTTTGTATTATAACTTTGATATTTAATTACAAGATAATGTAAAAAAAAAAAAAAAAAAAAAAAAAAAAAAAAAAAAAAAAAAGACAATGGACAATGCAATGAATATAATAAATTGATAAATTTGAAGGTAATGAATCTTTGAATTGTAGAAAATAAAGATAATATAATTAATGAAATTATATCTATTTTTAAATTTTTTTATAATGAATTTTTTTTTAAATAAAGGCATTATAGACATCTAATTCTAAATTAATTAAATGCATATGTATTATTTTTTGTTGTAGCTACTAATTTATTTAGTTTAATAAGAGTAATAAAGTGGCGTATATACTTTTCATCAACAATAATGCAATCATTGATTTTTTTTTAAAATGCATACAAAAAATATTAATGCAAAAAGTATAATTGAAATATTAAGTTTTTTCTGATCTAAATAATCAAAAGAATATTAAGTTTTTTTCTGATCAAATGATTTTTAAAGTTCTTGATTTATAATCTTTGATGCTTAACTTTAAATGTTATGTATTTAGTCAGACTAATTATTTGAACAAAGTTTATGTTAAATTTTATATTATATATATTTTAAATATATTTTAACATATTCGTAGTATATGTTTAACAATTATGCCAACTCTAATTGGGATGTGGTTCGAAACTAAGACTTTTCTTATAGAAATTAATGTGTAAGTTAAAATAATAAATACTTAACGAAATATTCCGTTACTAAAGTTTATGCTAACGGAATTTAGGTTATTTAAGGGAAGAAAATAATATAATAGAGGACAAATAAGGAAAATCAATAAAAAATACTAAAATAAAAATAATATAAACCATTCATTTTAAGAAACAATAGTATAATATGAACCATTCATTTTAAGAAACAATAGGACCGACATTTTTTTGTTCCAATTAAGGGCCTAACATTATTGGCTCTTATTAGAATTGTAGATAGATGTAGATTGTAGATTATAGATAGATTGTAGATAGATTGTAGATATAGATGTAGATATATGCATTTAAAATATTATGTGTCTGTAATTAATAAATTATTTATATGTAATTAATCTGTTATGTACTTCCAATTTATTTATAGGTACATAATTAATTGCAGATGCCAATTATAAATACCCTTGCTAGCTCTCACCTAAGAATCCATCCCAGAAAGAAAGAAAGAAAGGGTAGTTAATTTTTGAATGCTACTAGCTCTATTACATTGTAGTATCTGTTCATATACTTTCTCAACCTACTGAAACACAAAGAGCTAATAATGGAGCTAATAATGCCTCCACTGAGGCTCGAACTTACAACCTTCCAAATGGAAGTCCAACCCGGGTACCATTGGACCACATAGTCCTGGTAAAGGGTAGTTAATTTAAGGAGCGAAGTTCATACTACTCCGAGGATGTCTTTTTGTCAAGGTAGTCTCACTTCTATTTCTCTTCTTTTATGTATTAAATACAATACAGTGCAGATATGTGTTAGTTGAGTTGTGTTTTAATTTGAATTTCTACCTTTATTATATATATATATATATATATATATATATATACGTACAGGTAAGAGTTCTTGGCCAGAACTTGTAGGAGAACAAGCACTGGTTGCCAAAGGCATAATCGAGAAAGAAAATCCTTTGGTGACTGTAAGAATCGGTTATCCAAGATGCCCGGGAACCTTGGATTATCGATGCGACCGAGTTGTGGTTGCTGTCGACTGTAGCAACGTTGTCCAAAGGACTCCTGTGATTGGTTAGATGGATCTTAGCTTCAATTCGCCAGTTCAAAATATATGGGAAATAATCATGCAACCTAGTATGTATGTGTATTGTCCTTAAAATAAGAGTGGATATTAGCTTATCTACTCCTTCTATGTCTTGTTGTACTGTTGTGCTCGTTTTCATATCAGTGATTAAATAAAAGTTAAAATTTATATATTAACATTTATTGCATGTTTGGTTCACACTTCACAGAATAATATAAGTCTGGATTGAAATAGTATTCTCGTTTCACAATAATATATAGGCTTATTCATTTGTTGGGTAAGAATTTATATTCCTATGAACAATATGAATTATTCCCCCAACAAGGGGAATAGCTACTATTGCCCTCCCCATTGTATTAAGCTATTTCTAAGCTCGATCTCAGGAATAGCCTATATATGGTCCTATTTGGTAAATAATTATTAGTTGATAGCTGATTGTGTTAATTAGAGGGTATAACTAGTTGATAACATTATCTGATTGTAGAAAGGTGTTTGATAAATTAGCTGTTTGATATAATTTCTTTTCTCAAAAAGCTAATTGAAAAGGTTGTGTTGAGCAGCTTTTTGAATTTTAACACTTTGGAGTTACACAAAACTAATTAACCAAACACTTATATTGAGTTTTAAACCAAGTCAAACAATTAATAGTGGTCAAATAAGTCAAAATTGACTGATAGACTAACTATTTTACCAAACAAGGCCTATATATTTTATTTTCTATTTCACCCTCCTTTAACCTAAATTGGTTTTAGTATAAATTGTGTTTGTTTAGTATTGGAATTGTGTATGTTTAGTATTGGAATTGTGAACTTCTAAAATATAAATTGTACGTGTTTCTAAGTCAAAACACATAACAACTGTAGAAGGGAATTTATGAATACAATACAAAGTGTGGGAATTTATGAATACAATACAAAGTGTGTGTGACTGCATTATTTGAAAGGAATTTGTGAATACAAAACAAGGTAATCAATTACATATATGTTAACATTGTGCCCCTCCAAAAACAATATTTTTTAACTTTAAATTACTCGAAACCAAACCAAACCAATGTATAATTACCACGTACTGGGCCAGGAATGATGGTAAATATGCCCAGGCTGCACCATAGCAAATTTTGCAAAGGCAACCTACAGAAGAAGCACTGTTGTAATGAGAATTGAATTGAAATTTGCAAAAAGACAACAGCGCAGGTTAGCCAAACATCATATGACCCAATCAGGGGTAATACCAAACCCATTTTTTTCTGTATAAAACTAAATATTTGTGAACAGCATAAAGGTAAAGTCAATCTTTACATAACGCTGCCTTAATAAGAGTTACACCTCACTCCAAATCATCTTCTAAAGATCAAACCTTTCTGCAATTACATACATCTTCTCCCCAGCCAAGCTCTCCATTATAGTTATATTTCAAAGCCCGTTTGAAGTCCGGAAAACGGGATAGCCATTGACACCGCACGCCATGTTTGAGTAGTCGGGAATCATAGGAGGATACGGGTAGCCAGTGTCGCTTTCGGCATTGCTCATTCCGAGATATGGACTGGAGCCAACCATTTGCCAGTGGTCGGGGATAAACCCGTTCATCTTCCCGTTGACAAAGCTTTGCTGGCTGGCCTGCGGGATCATGTCTGTAACACCGTCGAAAACACCTCCTCCAGGATAGCTATGTTGGAACATGTTGTCGTAACTTTGGGTTCGCTCAAATCTGCAAGAGCTCATCGAGGGACCAGATTCAGATGGCATACCAAGATCGCCTGGGAAGGTGGAATGCCGGGTTAGATGGTGAAACCCGTTGCTGTAACTTTGAAAGCTTGTGTCTTTTTCGGAAACCATCCCGAGTCCATGCTCATCGTCCAGAAGATCGTTGATGATGTCAAGGTGCGGGAAATCAGTAAAAACGGAGGGAGTCTGACGCCTTGATGTTCCTGGGGGTAACATAGATGGAAGATCATCATGGGATCTGCTGTTCACGGGCTTGTATAGATAAGAATTTCGGCTGTCATTTAGTACGGGAAAATCAACGGCTATGCTCCTGCTATCCCTTTGAGGGGCGCTGTCCATCCACTGGGGTCCATGATTCATCATCTCATATGAAAAGCTCGGTCTAATTGAGCTAGGTAGAGCTATTTCTGGCCCGTGTGGTGAGAAGGGTGCAGAAATCAGAGCATGTGGTGGTGGTTGAGAGTGCGAGTGTGAGGCACTCACCGCTAAACTTGATTGAGGTTGTTGATCAAACCCAGCCGAACAACCCATCATTGCATTTCGGTAGGACTGAGGGACAAAACTCTGTGGTGCTGCTGAAGAATCAGGGCGCAATTGACCGGACATGCTCTGTGAGCGTGCCAGCAATGGTGGCGTCTGAGCTATGGAGACAACGGGGGCAGTTGGCCGGGGGCCAACTAAAGGAGCACTCGACGGTCTCGACGGTCTTGATGAAACATTTGCTACTTGTGACGAGGGTTTCTCAGAGGTGGCAGCAACTTGATGTGTCGAGGGCTTCACTTGCTGGGAGGAAGGCTTTTTCAAGGCTTTTAGATCAACAGATCTGGGAGCATCACTCTTTGCTGCATAACTTTCGCGAGGAGACTTCACCTGCACTGATTTATCGGCCACATTATGGATATCAGGTGTTAGTTTCTTGACAGAAAGAGAATTGTACGAGCTCTTCAACTCTGGTTTTGACTGAACCGTTGAGGTCACCGCCTTGGGGGGAGAGAACACGCTGGTTCTATTCTTGGAAGGTCCCTCTGTATCAGCTCCATTACGCTTCTTTTGTTGCAAAACTACTACTTCCTATCATGCAGAACCAAATCGTTCATCAAGTAATGTTTTTAACAAAAATGAAAAAGGCATCAAGAACTGAAAGAAAAACCTTACCGGGAAACAAAATCTGCACCCAAATCTACAAAATCCTTAATTTAATTTTGATAAACTTTTAAGCAGGCTGTATGATTTTTATACTTCTTTAGAGAAAATAATATCACTTGAGAGGATAGGGAGAAGTCGAAAAACCTTCTGAACATGTTGCTCACGTGAAGAAAGACCAGCAGCACGAATCTCGGTTCCAGGCTTCCTGCTACTTCCAGATGTATCACTCAGTTGCCCGTTATCAGTAGTAGTGTCTAATTGCTGAGTCTGTGAATCGTCAGACCAATTTGTATCCTTAGCTGACTTTCGCCGGTTGTTCCTCCCTCTGATGCATTAAGATACAAAATAAAAGATGTGTTACATAATTTCTTCGTTTTTTTTGGGGGGGGGTGGGGTGGGGTTCTTTAGTCTCAAAAACAAAACAAAACAAAACAAAACCAAACGAAAAACAAATATGTATTTTTTAGCAATAACATTGAAGAAACATAAAAGATGACATGCCTGCTCGCTGACTTCTGGTTTTTATGGTTTGAATGATGATTCCCTCGGTAAGATCCATTCATAACAACAGAGGGGGTTGAATCAGTGGAGCAAGTTGACGAACTATCATCCACTGCAGGACTTCTCCTCCCAGCAGCTATTCCATTTTGTGAAGATGGAAAGCTACCTAATCCACTGCAGCTGGTATCCATGGAAGGATGAATTTCCACGGTATCAGTATCCCAATTGACGGGGCTAACATCTCTGCCTTCTGAATCATGATTAAGTACTTCTGGAACACATTCTACAGAATCAGAGATGTCTGAAGTCTCTTCCGGTGTATCAGGCTTTTCAACCACGCTTTCTGTCTCCTCAGTCCCTTCGGTGATTGATAGCTTCCCTTCAGTCTTGTCCTCCAAAACGACACTAGGCTTTTCTTCCTTCTCTTTATCCTTCACTTTGCGGTTGTTCCGTTTCTGTTTGCCCTGAAGTAAAATAATTCTTGTGTGAGAAAAAAATTCGGTTTTTGCTATCTTTATGTTCGCCACCTTTCTTATAATCAATTAGATGTCTGTAATTGCCACAACCGAAAAATAAATGTGGGGAATGAAAAGAACCTGTTTTTTCTTTGATTTCTTTTCCTTCTTTGATTTATGTTCAGTTTCGGCCATCCATGCAGCCTCCTCTTCCCGGATGAGTTCCTCTTGCCTCTTTAAAGCAACTGCTTCCTGATATGCAACCTCAATTTTACTGCACAAGGGATAAAATAACGGGCATTATCTCAATTGAAAATCTACATAGAGAAGATCTTGATAGACCCTGATGAATCGAATAGACAAGGAAAATATCACAAACAGAAAGCAATAACATATCTATAAGATCATGAAAAACCAATGAATCAATAGAGATCACGATGCATGATAACCAAAAGCCATGCATCATGGAACAAGATCTGAGATTTAAATACTTTCATCTAGATAACAGCATGGTTTTAATGGAATTGCTTTCAACTTATTTGAGTGTATAAACTGTATATACTACTATAAGCACCAAACACTCATTTCTAACAGAATTAGGAAGGGGGAATGACTGAAATGGGCGAATCCCGGAAGAAAATAGGCATTTTTCAAATCTTGGACAAAAATGGGCAAAACTCCTTTGGGAAATGTGTGAGTCAAACTCTGTTAGAACACATATCCCAAAGCAGCCTAAAGAGGAAAACTTTTTCCCAGCCTTTTTTGTGGGAAAAAAAAAAACGTAAAACCGCATTTCCCGAATGCGTTAGGCACTTTGTTTCATGGAAATACACATATATTAACATGTATTTCTCCTCCTTTCATACAACAAACGCATTAAAGAAATGCGATTCAGTTTTCAAAAAAAAAAAAAAAAAAAAGCGATTCACGTATTTCTACATGAAACGCATTTTTCAGATGCGGTTCAATTTTCCATATATTAAGCGGATATGAAATTAATTTTCAAAAATGACACTTTATTCGACTGAGTTTATATATACTGAATTGTAACGAAAGCATATACACAAAATTCACTCTAATTTTTAAATCAAACAGGTTTCAAAATTCACTTAGGCATGATATAGTTATTTATACATGATGCACGTAAGCTTTTGTGAAATTTAAGGGTTGACAAATTTCCTTCGCCCTAAAAAAAAGTAACCTTTAGCTTTAAAAGTTGTGGAAAGCATATACTTTCCATAAATGTGTTGGTTTGAAAAAGGCCACTTCCCAAATGTGTGTCTCATGGTTTGAAATTATTTTTACAAAAAATGGATTTCACAAATGCATTTGTCACATTGAAGTTGAAAAGAGGGAAATCCACTTTACTAATTACTATATGGAAAATTCAACCGCATTTGGGAAATGCGCTTCATGTGAAGCGCATTTCCAAAGGCATTTATTGTTCAAAAGGAGGAGAAATATGCATCAATATACGGTGTATTTCTGAAGAAATAAAAACACCAAGCACGATTGACATTTTTTCATTTCCCACGGAAAAAAGTCCAAAAAAAGTTTTCCTCTTAAGTGAAACTCCTTTGGGAAATGCATTTCTATCAGGGTCTGACTAAAACGCATTCCACAAAGGAGTTTTGCCCATTTTTTCCAAGAATTGAAAAAAGCCTATTTTTGTCCACGGCTGTTCAAAAACGCCTATTTTAGTCAATTTCCCGTGTTAGGAAAGGCTTATCAAAAAAAGTTTATGGTTTGTGAAAAGCTGTTTTGAAGCTTATTTCAACAAAATATTTCAAGAAGCTTATTTCAACAAAATATTTCAAGAAGCTTATAAGAATAAGCTGAAAATATCGTTTAAGAAGCGAGTTGGAATGGCATACCTATATAAGGCATTGTGAGCTTATTGAAAAGTGCATAACTGCATATCTTAAAGGCATTCATTTAATCCATTTATCCAAACCTGACTTGAAAAGTGCATATTAAATAAAGTAATAGACTTATTTCTTACTAATTTAGAGAAATCCACCCAAAAAAGGGCAAAATGGAATCATAAAATACTTAACAAGGAATCTAGATGATACAAAAGTTCACACAGGATCCAGAATGTGATTAATATACAGTTTCCATAGGAGATGCACATAAAAATCATATCGGCAAATCCAACCAAAAAGAAAATTGAAAAATTATCCAATGTCAAAAGTTTCTAGCAACTACAAAGATTAAAAAGGTGGGGATAAGAGCTAACATTTACCTGAAAATTTGAGCCAGGACAACTATTTCAATGGTCCGACGACCCAGTTCAGTAAGGCGTCTTTCATCCCGCTCAATGGAGTCTTTATTAAAGTCATCTCCAGAAGCTCCGTCCTGAAAGGAAAAGAAATTCAGAATGAGAAAGAGTAAACAACTAATTGCTAAAACATCACTAACAATATTTTCCTATTGCAACACTATAAAAGAAATTTGGAAACTAACTACAAAAAGGGTTGGTTTAGAAAGGACTACTCGACATGTTTGGGTGCAAATGTATAAAAAGCTTCAATTAGATCCTAATTCACTATACAACTAGCACTAAATCAACACGCTATATAATCCACAGCATTAAAGAAAACCTACTTCGAGGCAAGAACACTTAGCCAAGCATCAAAGTAAACCGAAGTTCAAGATGAACACTCAAAGGCATCACTTTCCAGAAAGCTAAAACACAGTGGCTCACCTTTGTACGATTCTGAGGACCTTTCTCTTCCTTTGGAGGCAACTGCTCCAAGGCAGCTCTCTCAAGCAGTAGAAGCACATCATCAACCAACACAAACATGTCTTTCTCCATCTTAACAATAGGAACTGGTTGTTCCTCTAGATCTAAAGACCTACCCTTTCCTTTCTTTCCAGTATGTTGACCTTCTAAAGCCTTGAGTCCACTGTACAAGGAATCCATGACTAAAGTAGATGTAACTTCTTTTTCTATGAAGAAGTATTTAACAACAACTTTCAATATTGCATCTGATTTCTCCTTTGACATGCGGCGCCTGGAATTTTGGTCCATCCCTAGCCAGAAAGCACAGAAGCTGAAATAGCATAAGATACACTTATTGAACTTTGCAACAAGGCCCAAGATTCAGCAATCAATACTATAAAACTAGAAAATCAAAGAGAAATTTTTAGGGCATTGGTTAAACAACATTACGGAAAAGAATCCAACTACAGCAACCGCATAAACATAAGTGCTATGGAAAATTGGAAACTGAAAATTTTACAATTTTTCTTGAAGGGGGAACATGTAAGAGTGATTAAAAGAAGAAATTATAAACACCTACCTTGACCATCTAGCTTTATCCTCTATCAATTTTCCAAGTCTACTTCGTCGTTCTTCTACAAAACGGCGGCAGATCTGTTCAACATTAGTTAAATAAACCCTAACTAGCTCTCGTCGATATTGACAGTCAAGGCAACGAAAGGGGCGATCTGCTCTCTCTCTGAAAATAACAGTTATGGATAAAATTAGTGAGATCCACAAAAGATCTTCATAATATGACTTTACAAATATGTTCATTGAGAAGGAAAATGTAAATACCATTGTTAAAAAAAAATGAAACTTTTTTTTTGACAAGTCAAAGAGCAATTCCTTTTAATAGGTATACAGTAACAAATAAATAAATAAAAAGATTAGCCTGATAATTAAAAATAACCCGCTTAAATTTATTAACTGAAATGGCATGCACTCATATAGGCAAATATAAAATTACTACAATCACACAATAGTTGAGCGGTAAGAAAAATGAAATTCAAGGACCTGATTACTTGGACTTGGGCCTTAATTATCAGTGTGTCAGAGTCAAGAAAACCATCCAACACCTTTGATAGTTCCATAAATTTTTTCCAACCCCAATCATGTTCTTTCTTCCAGAAACGATGCAATGTATCTGACATATTTGCAACGGAGTGTTATCACTTAAAATGAAGACAACCAAAAAGAAGTTACCAGCAACAGTTAACTGACCCGAATACTTGGACTTCTTTGGATCTTTATTCACTACAGCTATTGTGAACTGGGCAAAATGACTCCACCCTGAATTCGAAAAGAGAGCAGAATATCAAATTAAGAAAAATAGAAAATTTATGGATCAAGAAGAATACACGAGTTAAAAATATATTCAACCTGGGAGAAGCTTCTCATGATTAGCCACACAAAGGAACAAAGATAGATGATTGCAAACGTCACATCCCTGGGGATAAATCAAAATATACCTGCCACCCAACAGTTGATTCAGAAATGGCATGTGAAGCAACTAATTAAATTAAGAGTGCCAACCACATTAAATGTACTAGTACATAAAATAAAAACATTCCAAGAAAAGACAGTAAAACTTTCAGCAGATTGAAATTGAATTTCTGAAAGGACATGAACAAGAATTAACAAATAACAAGTAATAAAGAAAAGAATTTATAAACCACAATAAGCAACTATTCAGGCAAAAATATAAGCATTTAGCAAATCCAATTTTAGGATCAACTGAACCCACTATGCCTGTAAAGATACTCGCATCTTGAATGAAAATACCTTAGTAAAATAGACACAAAGTGGGATGCACACTTTTCTTAAGAGTTAATTCTAGAAATACTATTTCTGTTTTCCAATTTTTATCCTTTACTTTAAAATCAACCATAAATAGTCCTCAGACTATTGATTTTGTGTCATTCGGTGTTGTAAAAATCAGCCTAGGCGGCTGCCTAGGCGCTAGGCACCCCTAGGTGCTTGTTAGTTGGCTGGCCGACTAGGCACCCAACTCAGCGAACTCGCCCGAGTATTTTTTTTTTTTTTAATTGTTTTTTTTCCACTCGAAACGGCGTCGTTTTGAGGGGAAAAAAAATTTTTAAAAAAAAAATGTCGTCCACAACAGAGCAGTCAAAGTTTAGTGTCGTCATCCTCTCCTCCTCGTCTCATGCAGTCCTGCTCCTCACCTCCTCCTCCAGCCGTCGCCATTGTCTACAGCCACACACCACCTCAACCTCGTCGTTGCCAGTCGCTTGCTTTGTGCCTCTCCTGCACGCCAGCACATCGTCGTCGCCTCTTCCTCGTCAGCAGCCAGCAGGATAACTGGCAACGACGACGCTGAGGCGAGGAAAGCGGCGACAACGAGGCTGAGGAGGAGGTGAGGAAACTGGGGACGACGAGGCTGAGCAAGAAAACTTTACGCCTGCACACAGAATGCTGGAGAAGTGGAAAACTGCCTATGTTTTTTCTCTATTATTTCTCGGCAGCCTAGGCGCCTGACTAGCGCCTAACGCCTTCTGCAACCTCAGTGTCATTTCTGTTCCTTTGTTAGAAAGTCATCTATGAGGCGTTAAATTCAAGGGCAAAAATATAAATTCATTCTTGTAGCTCCAGATTCATCAAGGGAGAGAAGAGAATCACATCATCGAGGTTGTTATTGAAAATAATAAATTTGCTCAAAAATTTTGCTGCATGTTTTCAATCTTGGAAATGTAAATTCTCTCACGTGCCTCCCAAATCCCTTCCACCCATTTGCAGATACAGAGTATTACTTTAATTAATATCGATATTCAGTTCAAAATGAATGCAAATAATAATTTAATCGTATCATTGGGTAGAAGGGACTTGGGAAGCATGTTTTCTTTATTCGCGATGCCCGATCTCAAAATCAGCCTCGGTTTGTGGCCATAGTGAAACTGGTGGTGGCATAGACAGAAGGGGAGTATAGATTTGAGATGGAAGTGCTAGTTGATCAGACAGAACCTTGAGTAGATTTAGAAGCATAAGACTAGCTACTTTCAACTCCTTAATTCAGGGGAACTGAGTTTTCTTCTCAGTTTTTGTAATCTGCAACTGCCATATCTGGACTTCTAGATCAGTTTGCAATGCCTTGTGATTTCACATAATTCCTTTTTGGCAATTTTTTATTGCATTCTTGGTAGTACAAAGTATTTGCTAAAATTTTGCAGTGCTGAAATTAGGGTTGGTTGAATGTGGATATGTTTCTTTTGGAATTGTGGATCTCTCAAGAAGTCAAAGCTTTTCAAGAATCATGCTCAATAGCAGCTGGGGTATCACCCAGTGTAACTTAATAGGAGTATAAAGAAGCCAATCTGGAGATACAAGAGTGAATTTACATTTTCCGCCTTGAGCATAACGGCTCGTTGATAGTTTTTTTAACAGATGATCAAAATTGGTACAAAATCAATAGTCTCAGAATCATTTACGGTTGATTTTAAAGTTGAGGACAAAATTGGAAAAAAATAATAGTCGAAGGACCATTTATGGAATTCTCTTTTCTTAAAACATTACATAATGGCAACATAGACATTTAGCATAGAATAGGACATGTATAGCATTCTATAAGCCATAAAATAAAATTAAATTAAAAAAAAAAGGCTCAATAATTAAGTATTATGATTGGAAAAAAATAAATGGAGAACAGGGAAATTTTTTGCTTGAAGATACATACCATTTATAGCCGCCAACCTCAAATGCGTTACTCCGAAGTTCTCGCTTATTGATTTGTGAAAACTTATCAATCTTCCACGTATACTTTCCATACAGCTCAGACGGTTTAGGTCCTACAATGCAATAAATAAGATGACAATCCATCATCAAGCAAAATCAGCACCTAAGGACAAGAAAGGTAGAGTTCCCACCCAGTACGATTGCCACCCACAAATATCAGCATCCGTGGGTATTTATATTTATAATTAATAATGGCCAGAAAATCATACCACACAACTAGAAACTATATTTGATCATTAGGAAAGCATTCTCCAATAACAATGAGATTAGATCCTAATGATTATAATTTACAGCAGCAATCAAGTAATGTCTTAGAGCATCCCCATTGAGGGGATTTTGTTCAGTTTTTTTTTTTTCTTTGAGGGGGGTGGGGGGGTGGTTTGGACTGTTATTTGGAGTTTTCCACAGCTTTTGTCAGAATTTTAAATAAAGATTTTAAAAAAAAATAGTATTTGCAAGTGAGCTAGTCACACGTGTGTGGGACTTACGCACCCACCAACTGGGCGTGTTAGGGTTGGTCACTAGTTTCTGTTTTCTTTTTCTTTTTAAAAACTCAAAAACCCCACCATTAATCTTGCTCTTAAGGGTAGTCAAGTGTTCTATACAACTCTCCTTACAAAAATTTCACAACAAATGGGAATTTTAGCAACCAGATACGTATAACATAAAAGAGTAGGAAAAGTAAAAATAAATTTTAATCAAAAAAATTGTCTTCACTTCAAAATGAATTTTCAAAAAATAAATTCAGTGAACAACACACCTTGTAACAGGGAGTAAAACAAAGCAACCGCTTCTAAAGCTCGGGCAATTATGGTCCAAAAAACTTAATGGTGAAACTATAAGTTTTAACCTTTCTATGCGTCAATAAAAAGCAGCCGTTCATCATTCTGATACACACACGCACACACATATGAGATCATTCTAGGGCACAATGTCATCTTGTTTCTACACATACACTAGATAGGACAAATCAACAAAGTGTCATGAAACAAACCCAATAATTTCCACACTTCTCAGCTGACTACAAGATTACAAACAAAATAAAGAACCGAACCAAAGACAGCATACCACTGTCGTCATCATCATCGCTGTCCCAGTAAGGAGGTGATGTTGAGGTAATTCCATTCTCCACCTGCTCAGACGACCTCCATTCCGCCAATGCTTCACTGGACTGACAATGCTGCTCCTCGCTTGATGTTTCCTCCAATGACCTTCCCGCTCCAGCCTCCTCAGTTGCAATGGTAGTCATTCCGAACTCCACAAATCCAACAAAACTCCTGCAACTTCACCTGTCACAACACAGTGATAAGGACCCCATCAGAGAGTGGCAAAAATAGGTTTTGACAAAAACACAGTACTTCATACTGAGTAAAACATCAGTATCTCTAAGTTCACAGGTTTAAGGAGATTCCGTTACTACGCCCAAACAAATCCATCGAAGATTGAAGAATTGTGAGGTGCAAAAGAGGCACTTAGAATAACAAATTCACCAATCCTCCAAACCCACAGATTAACAACAACTCATACTGCAAATTCAACATCAACCCCTCTTAATTCCCGATAAGCCATCGATTCAAACTCCACAAAAACACAAAAGTGTGAGTACAATATACATGCATACATGTATACACAGAGAGAACCAAACTCGACGGTTAATCAAATTGCAATTAAATTAGAGGAATAGAAAATTTAATGTCAAAGTAAAAAATTAAAACCCAGATATTTAATTAAACCCAGTAAATTTAAAAGCCCAAATTCCCTAAATAATGGATTGAAAATTGAACTCCTCGATACGACCCACATCCAAAAGACTCCCCTCACCCAATCAATTGAATCGGAGAATACTGAAAACGAACAGAACCAAAAGGGATCGGAAAAGCGCAGACCTCAAGCAAAGATGGGAGCTTTGTCAATGGCGAATGAGAAGCTGCGGGGGAGAGAAGAGAGATTTGGGAGGTACAAGGAGCAGCAGAACAGAGGCAGAAAAAATGTATTTGCAAATAAACTTTATTTTATATATTCATACACTTTTAGGTAGCCGGCTTTTATTTTAGGTTATTACCAAATTATATTTTTTCTGTTTTATCTATTTCTTGATATAGAAATATAATAAAATTTTAAATAATAATTAGAAATCTGTAGTTATTGCCTTATTGGTAAAAAAAAAATGGATTTATTTCCCATTGTGATTATTTTCCATCGTATTTATAAAAAAAAAAAAAAAAAAAAAGGATAATTAAAGATTTTTTTTATGATAATACAATATCCTATCTTTTGCGTCAAATGTAATCATTTATATTATTTGAATCGATGTCAAATATTAATAACAAATGTCATATAATACTTCGTAATTTAACATATTATAGTAATTGTACCAATATAAAAAGCATCAATGTCGAAAAGCATTTAATTCAAATATTGAAATTGGAATCAAATATTGTGTAATTGTAATATTGTGTAATTGTAATAGGTTTATATGAGTATAATAAGTTAACTTTTTAGTTGGTACTGTATTAAATAAAAATTTATATATATGATCTTTTCTTTTTATTTTTTCTTTCTCATTTTTTATTCCATTGTTCAAAGGTAAAGAAGAAGAATAGTACCTTAATAAATTATTTGAAGTCAATAGAATGATAGCAAATGTTTACAATCAAACGCCACCTTAATATCAGAATCCAAAACATGAGTAATATTTTACTTGATTTTAAAATTTTTCAATTTAACCTAAATTTGTATACTATTCTATTAAAAAAAAAAAAAGAATAATATTGTTAAGTTTTCATTTATCCCCTCATAAAGCTTTTTTTTTTTTTAATAAAAAGGTTGATTAATTTAATTTGTATCAATCATTTAAGTTTTTGTAAATTTTATGTTACAATAATTTTTTTATATTACTCCGTTTAATAATATTAGTGTAACTTACATTTGATATTTCAACAATATTTTTTACTTGAAAAAAAGTGTCAATAATTCTATGTAAAAATACAAGTAACTCGTTAAGCGGAATTGAATTGGTCAAATTATGAATGGCTCAATGATGGTACGCACAACTTGGGGGATAAAGTTCTCTTATACGTTATGGGGTTTGTGGAAGGCACGAAATAATAAGGTGTTTAATGGTGCGCTTAATAATATTAAGTGATTGATATTACTACCATTCTTCTTCTCCCTTGCAATTGTGAAGGTGATGGGTGAGAACTACAAGCCTATTGACTTTATTATTATTCTCATTCTCATTGTTGATCGCAAGTTCCTTGCGTTGGGGTTTAATGAGGTGATTTTCACGCGTGTGTTGAGTGAAGGTAGCAGGTATACCAATTTTCTTACTAATCTTGGACAAGTTATGAGTTAGGGTACGACGATCTTAGAAACTCCTCTAAATAATTTGATGGGGTTCCTGCTAGTTTATGCGGGCGGAGCTAGGTTCAGAACGGTCAAATAGAGTCTCACACACACAAAAAGAAGAGAGAGACCAAGCTAAGTGGAACTGAAAGTTTTTAGAAAAAATATTTTAAACTATAAATATATAAATGTATTGTATATTTTTTTTTTTAGCCACCTTCTACACGCCACGTGTTTCTATTGTCCCATCATGTATTTCCCTAAGTATATTTTATATGGATTTTAATCATTTTGTTCAATTTGTTATGTTTCTTGTCCAACGATTGTATATTTTTGTTTGAACTTTGTTGTTTCACCCAATATTTAATTAAGTGATTAATTAATATTGTAAATAAATAGAGGTTTCATTACTAAAGAATTTTTATTATTGTAGATCTATTCATTCTTTATAAACATCTTAGTTTATTGAAATTCTTATATGATATATATTAGAATGAAAAATGAACAATAAAATTGATGACTCTTTCCTCCTATATATCATGCATCTTGTATGTGTGATACATGAAATTTTATGTACAGAATATTGATAAAACACGAATAATAATAAATGTTTAGTTTAAATCATATTTTGCAAATTTTTAATGTGGTAAATTTTAATTATCATATATATTTTGAATAATATAGAGAGAAAAAAAAAAAGAATTTATATTTTTGTTTGATGTTAATATAAACAATTTTCATAAAATTTATTTTTCAGAACCAACAACGAAATGATATCATTAGTCGAAAAGGTTATAAAGAATACAAGTTGGAGAGACCCCTCCCAAAAACACAAACCAGCTTGAGGATCAATCGTGTTGACATGAAAAATGTGGCAAGCGCCCAAAGAGTTCATAAGAGAAAAACAATTGTGATTGACCAACCAAACATAGGATAATACAAGCCATCTACCTGATAGCCCATAATAAAGATTCAAGCAATCAATCTTGACTCTAATGTTAGCCAAAGACTTGTCCTTCAGCTAAGAAAGGGCTTCCATGCAACCCATACCTTATGCCATCAGAGAATCCAGCTAGGTGAGGATCTGCCGGGCATCTGAGAGGACCACTAACAACGGCTAAGAAGGCATCATTATCACCCAATAACACAGCTCTGATCCAAAGCCCACACGATTTAGCTAAGGGAATGAAACTAACAACAGCTTCATCCCATTCGGTAGCATCTATAACTGATGTTAGAGAAACAGGGCATGAAGTTGAGACAACAAGCGGGTCAGGGAATGAAACTAACAACAGCTTCATCCCATTCAGTAGCATCTATAGCTGATGTTAGAGAAAGAGCGCATGGAGATGAGACAACAAGCGGGTCCCTGATCTGCACCAAGTAACCAAGGAGAGTTCCAAATAAACGGGGATTTGCCATCACCAATACATAGGGATGGCAATGGGTCGGGGTGGGTTAAGAAAGGTTACATTCATCACCCGATCCACTTTATATTTTCTCCACCCACCCCCACCCCCACCCCACATCGGGTGGACTTTTTCAAAACACACCCCCACCGAACCGATGCGGGTACCCACTACGGGTACCCACCACTTATCATCTTATTAATTTTTTAAAAAAATATTATTTGAATTACTTACACATAATAAAATAATAAAATTCATTAGTGATACTAAAACATAAAATAATAGAAATATTTAAATATAATAACTAAATTGTTAATTTTTGAAAATAAACTTAGTAGTTTAGATATAAAAATAATAAAACAGATACACGAAGTTATATAAACTTTTATATATATATATATATATATATATATATATCAACCCGACCCATAACGGGTTTACTTTTTTAAGATCCACCCCTGACCTACCACACACCATCACCAAAAAAAAAAAAAAAAAAAAAAAAAAAAAAAAAAAAAAAAAAAAACCGATCCATGCAAGATGGATTCGGGTGGATTGAAATTGCCATCCCGGGAGCGATACACCTGCACAACCTTAGACTGTAAAGGCTTTGTGCAGCCAATAATAACTTGGATTGTGGAAATGTAGCGTCAAGGAAAGAGAAGGATGGGAAATATTTAGCTTTGAAGATTCGAGCGACCAAGCAAACACTGCTCGATTAGTGGATTATACTTGGGGGTCGTTTGGTTCACGGAATGTTAGATTGCCGGGAATGTTAGAATTCTGTGTTTGGTTAAAACTGAGATATGTAATATAAAGTTGTTTGGTTGAGAGTTGTTATGCTGTGCATCCGTGGTGCACACGGATGCAAAAACGACGTCATTTTGACGTCGACTTAAAAAAAAAAATCAGAATTGCATAACTACACATCCATAATTTCATAACTAAACATCCGGAATTGCATAACTATACATCCAGAATTGCATAACTACACATCCATAACTTCATTACTATACATCCAGAATTGCATAACTACACATCCAGAATTGCATAACTATACATCCATAATTTCATAACTATACATTCAGAAATTATGCACAACATAATGTTGTTGACAGGAATCGAAACTGATTTTTTTTTTTTTTAAGTTGGACGTGCGTTTTTAGTCAAAATGACGTCGTTTTAGCATCCGTGTGCACCATGCATGGTGCACACGGATGCACAGCATAATTTGAAGGGTTGTTCTTTATGTTATAATGACTATTTTACTTTAATACCATCAACATTTTTCATGCATTTCAATATATGAAGTTCAAAAATTTTGTATTAACTTTCACCAAGTATATGTGATGCACTTCAATTTTAATTTGTATTAACTTTCACTGCAAAAGAACCAATTCTTATGGTAGGCATAATGAGAATCAGTAAGATTGCAAAAATAACTGCTCATTAAGGGGAAAGTTAACATTAACAAGGATTATAGAATCAGTAAACCATGCACAAATAATTGCGTTCAACGATGCGAGAAGAAACCAAGAAATATCAAACGCGGAGTTCGTAAAAGAGTGGAGGGTAGAGTATGTAAAAAAGTAAGGGAATATTACATAACATAAGGAAACCAAGGGAATCACATTCCCTTTAAAATAAGGAAAATGCTGATGTGGAGGTTAAATAAGATTCCAAGGGAATGTTAGAAAATTTCAACCAATCACAGGAATGTTATATAACTAGCTAAAGATAACCTTGGTTATCTTAGATAACCCGAACCAAACGCCCCCTTAAAGTACGCAGATCTCTTGTGTGCACCGATATTTGACCATGTCTACTGAATCATTGAGTTACCATAATTTACATCCTCCCAAATGCTTTATTGGGTCAGGATGTGGGACCTTGGGGTGGGAATTCAACCTTTTTGGAGAGGAAGAATATGGCAGAACACAAACTCTTTAATATTATCCTTATATTATCAATTAATATTTAGGATAATATGTTGTCAAAAAAATATTTAGGATAATATGAATATTTATTCAAAATGCATCTAACCACAATTTCGTTTGGATTCATGATTTTATCACATACTTTAACTAAATAATTAATTAATATATGAATATTCTCTTGTTGGGCCAAACATTACTTTGAACCCATTTCCATTATTTGCCAGCTCCAATTAGCAAGTCTAATCAATATAATTTGAGCCTATCAACCTTCAGTTACATTTAATTTTGAGTCCACCAGCCTTCAATTATATTTAAGGCAAATTATGTTGTGGACATGTATCCACCATGTGCATAGTAGATATACAGTGCATTCATAATTTCTATATTATAGATTCATAATTTTTATATTGTATATTCATAATTAGATTCATAAAATTTATAATGTAGATTCATAATTTCTATATTGCACATTCATAATTTCTGTACTGTAGATTCATAATTTCGGTACTGTAGATTCATAATTTCTAAACTGTATAGTTATCAAATTATGAATCTACAGTACAGAAATTATGAATGTGCAGTATAAAAATTATGAATCTACATTATAAATTTTATGAATCTACAATTTAGAAATTATGAATCTATAGTATAGAAATTATGAATCTACAACATAGAAATTATGAATGTGCAGTATAGGAATTATGGATCTACAGTACAGAAATTATGAATGTGCAGTATAAAAATTATGAATCTACATTATAAATTTTATGAATTTACAGTATAGAAATTATGAATGTACAGCGTGTCCACCATGTACATGGTAGACACGGATCCAGGGCATAACGCTCCTATATTTAATTGGTCAATTTAGTCAATTTAGTTTGATAGTTTAATTAATCCAAGTAAATCAACAATTGACCCAATTATATCAAGACAAGGCCCAAAACATATGAACAAGCCCATTCTCCGTCATTAAATTTTTGCTTTCTACACTGCCGAATATCGCAAATTATGCTGTGCAACCATATGGTGCATACGATTGCAAAAACGACATCGTTTTGATTAAAAATATGTGTTTTATTTTTTTTAAAAAATTAGGTTTGATTCTCGGCAATAGTATTTTTTTGTGCATAATTTGAATTATATATCCATAAATTCATAATTATATATTCACAAGTTTATAATTATATATTCACAAATTCATAACTATATATCCACAGTAAATGAATAACACAAAATCCAGAATGAATGAACTAAATATCTACAATGAATGAATTAAATATCCACAATGAATGAACTAAATATCCACAATAAATGAACTAAATATCCATAAATTCATAACTATATATCCACAAATTCATAACTATATATCCACAATAATTCATAACTATATATCCACAATAATGCTGTTGAGGGGAATCGAAACTGATATTTTTTTTTAAATGGGACGCGCGTTTTTAGTCAAAACGACGTCGTTTTGCAACCGCACGGTGCACATGGTTGCACAGCATAACTATTGGCCGAATATAATGCCCCTAGACAGGGAAATTGCAATCGTTATGCTGTGAACACGTGCCCACCTTGTATGGTGCGCACGAATCTATATCCATAATTTCTATACTGTAGATCCATAATTTCTATACTGTAGATTCATAATTTCTAGATTCTCGGTGAGCCAAAATTTATACTTTAGATTCATAATTTCTAAAATCGTAGGATTCATAATTTAAATACAACAGATTCATAATTTCTATACTGCACTGATTTGTGAAAACATGGTTCAACAATTGGAATCTAAAGTATAAATTTTAGCTCACTGAGATTCTAGAAATTATGGATCTACAATATAAAAATTATGAATATAAATTCATACGCACTATGTGTATGGTAGGCACATGCTAACAGCATAATTTGCCGGGAAATTGTATCAGTAAGCACACCATTTATAAGGACACTAGTTTTTTACGCGCATTGCGCGATTGGGATGATGCCCAATGTTTTTTTTTTTTTTTATTAAATAAGTACTTTAAAATATATCAAGGCAAGATTATATTGGAATTGTTCATGCATAGATAATTGAATGTTGAATTCGCGTATTTAAATAGGTAATTCTAAGTTTACAAATGCAAGATAATATAGTCAAGATTGATTATAATTGTCAATCAAATAATTGTATAGACATGGTTGAAATCAAATACGGGACATAAGGGATAACAAATAAAAATTAGGGCATAAAATATATACTAATATTGAAGAGCTAACTGCTGATTGCCAAACAAGAACATTGCGATGTAGTTTCTCACTTCAATTTGTTGTGTGATTTGATACTCTTTTTGTAAATAAATCCCCCAAGTAGTTAATATGATTGTCTTAATTATATTTTTTTTATTTTTTAAAACAATTATTATTATTATTATTATTATTATTATTATTATTATTATTATTAAATATATGTATACCCTTAGGTCATTTTACATGTTAATCTAAACAGTTAATTTTTTCAAATGTCTTTTTACCAACCGTTGATATAATTCGCTGGTCAAATCCGTTAATATAATCCTCTAACGCTAACCGCTAATAATTATAAAATTATTTCTCTTAATTAATTTATTGATAATGAATAATTTTTTTTTTTAATAAAGACATTGTAGGGACAATGTAGCGAATATAATCAATTGATGAATTTGAATGTAAAGAATTTTTATATTGGAGAAAAATAAAGACAATATAACTAATGAAATTATTTCTCTTATTTAATTTATTAATAATGAATAATTTTTTTTAGAATAAAAACATTGTAGACACATAATTCTAAATTAAATAAATGCATATGTATTTTTTTTGTTGTAGCTACTAAATTATTATTTAATTTAATAAAAGTAAAATAGAATACTAATTATGCCAACTTTGATTGAGATGGGGTTCGAACCTAAGATCCTTCTTATTGAAATCAATGAGTAAGTTAACGGTGAACTAATCGAAATTAACAGAAAATATAATATTTAACGGAAAAGTTAACGGGTAATCATATTCATTAAGGATAAATTAGTAAATTTTAAGGAAAAATTTAAATCTGATCAATCTCAGCCATTCATTTGATTAAAAAATTTGACCGCCATTTTTTCTACCCATTATAGACCTAACTCTCTTGGGCTCTTATTAGTATAGTAGATTTTTTTTTTTTTTGAAAAATATATGGCGCTTCATTAAAAGTAGGCCGAAATAATATCAGGTGGGAGTAAATCCCAATACATAGGAACGGACTGTTGATAAGCCGTAGTAGCTAAAGCATGAGCTAGATAATTGTCTAATCTAGGACTAAAACAAAACGAACAAGACTGAAATAAAGATGCAATATGTCTGCAACTGTCAATGGCATAGCCTAGATACGTACGCAACCCAACGGTTGGTGTAGTAAGATAGCGGTGCAGTGTCAAACAATCTGTGTATATCTCAACATTCTGTTCTCCCCGATCCTTCAACCATGATAGAGCCTCTTTACATGCCAGCGCCTCAGCCATAAGTGGTGAGGAGCAATTCCGGAGTGGTGCGGTGTACGCCGAGACATAACCCCCTTCCGTGTCGAGTAGGACTGCCCCAACCGCAGCACGGCTTGTTTCTTGCATAAAACCCTCATCCACTCGACAAATTCTCCTCGGCAGTCCATGTGGCGGTTCGGCAGCATAAGCTTCGGTGCCATGCAGTTCGGCATTCTCCTGCAGCAGGGTCGGCTCGGGTAGCAGCTGGGTGGCACGGGTCATGGGCAGTGGATGTGCCCGTGTCCACGCTAGCTTGGCGGTAGCGGCGCTTCTTAGCACAGTCTCCGGGCGCGGTAACATCGCCTCCCAAACCGCCTGGTTCCTTGCTCTCCATATATTGTAAAGAATTGCTGCTGCATATAACATTCCATCAGAGTCTAGAACTTCTAGAAGTTCATCAAACCAAACATGAAAAACATTTGTGACTATATTGGGGATTGTAAGGTTGGATTTGTCCCAAATGTTTTTTGCAAGATCACACAACACTAAGGCATGCATTGTGTTCTCATGAAATATTCCACACATGGCACATCGTGGGTCCACATCCACCCTCTTCATAAGCAAGTTTGTAGTGGTAGGCAATATATCACTAATAGCTCTCTAGAGAAAAGTTTTCCATTTTGGTGGGATTTTGAGTTTCCATAAGGGTAGCCATTTAGTAAATGTCTCATTATTTTCTTGATAGTTCCCAACTATTATTCTGTATCCACTTTTAACAGAGTACACACCTCTTGGGTCCCCATGCCAGTACCAGGCATCATCATAATCCAGGGAGATGGGTATTCTCATAATATTCGCCACATCATCAGGTTGGAATAAATCTGTTAAGATTGAGGGATCCCAAGTACCCGTCTGTTGATCAATCAAACCTGCCACTCTGGCTTCCTGCAACTGTACTGGCATTTCCGTTTGTATCATAGGGTCATTCTCATCTAGTAACCAGGGGTGGGTCCATATAAGTGTAGTCTCCCCGTTACCAATTCTGCGCCTGACCCCACCACAAACTATACTCTTTGCTGCCATGATGCTTCGCCAGCAGAAGCTGGGATTATTTCCCATTTGTGCATCAAAGAACGTTCCTTTCGGGAAATAACGAGCCTTATACACCCGTGCCACTAGAGATTCAGGTTTAGTCAACATTCGCCATGCCTGTTTTCCCAGCATTGCTAAATTAAACGCACGCAGATCCTTAAACCCCAAACCCCCATACTTCTTAGGGACACACAACTTGTCCCATGCCTTCCAATGGATTCGTCTGTCAGTTCCAGAATCCCACCAATACCGATTCATAGTTCTTTCCACCGCCGTGCACATTGATATGGGTAGCAAGAAAACACTCATTGAAAACGTGGGCATTGATTGTGCCACCGTTTTCAATAAAATCTCCTTACCTGCCTGCGATAACAATTTCTTATTCCATGAGCCAATTCTTTGCCTGATTTTATCCTCAACATATGCAAAAACTGCTTTCTTGTGTCGTCCAACAAAGGAGGGGAGTCCCAAATACTTGCCAAAATTCGGGGCCTGCGTCACTCCCAGTATCTGAGCCACATTGTTCCTGTCAACACTACTTGTATTTCTACTATAGCATATACTTGACTTGTGATAATTAACCGCCTGCCCAGATAGATCCTCGTACACAGATAGTCACCTTTTAATTTCATTTGCTTCCACCACATTGGCCTTAAAAAACAGGAGACTGTCATCCGCAAAAAATAAATGGGAAACTGGGGGGCACCCCTCGCTACCCTGCATCCATGTATTGCTCCCACATTATGTGCCTGCTGTAACAATAGGGACAATCCTTCTGCACAAATAATAAATAGATATGGGGACAAAGGATCCCCTTGCCTTAATCCACGAGTGGGTATAATAGGATCACACCTTGAGCCATTCACCTGAATATTATATGAAACTGATGTCACACACTTCATAATCAATTCCACCCAGCCACCATGAAAGCCCAAAGCCAGCATCATTTTACGAAGGAATGACCATTCTACACGATCATATGCCTTTGCCATGTCCAATTTGAGAGCACTCCATCCCCCCACTCCGCATTGTTTCCTGTTCAAAAAATGCCCCACTTCCGCAGCTAAAAGTATATTATCCGTAATCAGCCTATCCGGGATAAAAGCACTTTGTGACTCAGCGATTACATCCTCCATTAACGGCTTCATTCTGTTAGCCAGCATTTTTGCCATAATCCTATAAATCACATTACTGAGAGCTATAGGGCGCAAGTCAGTCACATATTCCGGGGTGTTCTTCTTAGGGATCAATACAACATCGATTTCAGTCAAACCAGGCGGGAAATCACAGGATTCAACACAATTTATTATAAAACTCGCCACATCCCCCCTACCACATCCCAAAAGTGCTGATAGAAGCCCGGATTCATTCCATCCGGGCCCGGTGCCTTATCCGGGAACATTGCAAACAATGCACTCTTAACTTCATCCAGCTCAAAAGGCCGTAGCAGAGACTCATTCTGTGCCTGTGTAACTTGCGGAGTAATCCCCTCAAAAAACCCATCCCCAGTTCTCGGGGTTCCAGCACAGAAAATACGTTTATAATATTGTAAAATAACATTTTTCATAGGCTCCCCCTCCACCCAATCCCCATCATCATTCATCAATCTAGAAATAGTATTCTTCTTTTTTCGGTGAGAGGCATACCTGTGAAAAAACTTCGTATTAGAGTCCGCCTCCTTCAGCCAGTGTTGCTTGGCCCTCTGTCTCCAATAGGCATCCTCCTGAACTTCAGTACGACTTAGCAGTTGTTCTAGGCGCTGAAACTCTGCGAGCGAGGCCGGGTCGGTGCGTCCCCTGAGTCGCTGTTGTTCTCTTGTCAGCTCACTAATTCGTTTTCCATACTTGTGGTACCGATCTCCACCCCAACGTGTTAACCAATTCCCACAGTACTGAATACAGCTCTGTAAACCCTGCCCCCTCCCCTCTTGCCAAGACTGCTCTACCACATTCCTGCACCCCTCATCATGCAACTATGCCATCTCAAAACGGAATCCCCTCCTACCAGGTCCCATTCTCCCAACAGACTCATGGATCCCCAGAAAGAGAGCCGAATGATCAGATTTTCGGGTTCTCAGATTCATCACCCTGGCCCCTGTCACTATGCCCCGCCACTCATTCGTTACCAGTACCTTATCGAGCTTCTCCTCCATCCAGTTTTCAGTCCCCTTCCCCTTCTCCCATGTGTACGGATATCCATTCATAGGCAACTGAGCAAGCCCACAGTCCTCAACGGCCTCCCCAAAACCACGTAGAAGGCTATTCGGATGCGGATTCCCTCCTCTCTTCTCATTCTGATATAGTAAGTCATTAAAATCTCCAATGACAACCCATAGGAGGTTTGACCGACCCGATAACGTTCTCAAAAGATCCCATGACTCAGTGCGCCTTGTTCGTTCAGGGTAACCATAATAGCCTGTCATTCGCCACTCCGGAAAGCCAGCAATAGTTACCACAACATCAACATAGTTCGTTGAGTAACTTAGCAGCCGGGCCGTTGTATTCCTTTTCCACAATAACGCTATACCACCGCTTAAACCATCACTATCAACATAGAAAAGCCCCTCATAACCAATCTTAACTCGAAAACGCTCTGCATGATCACGTGCAACTTTAGTCTCCATCAGAAATACAAAGTCGGGTTGCTTACGGGACACCATGTCCACAAGTTCCCGAACTGTCCGTGGATTACCCAAGCCACGACAGTTCCAGCTGAGGGTACTCATTGATCCGGGCGGGTCTGGGAACCAGAACCCGCCAGCTGCAAGTTTTTTGAACGCTCGGCCATAACAACATCCTCTCCTTCATACCTCCGTCCCCCACCCTCCACATCCTCCCGGCGGCGCTTGGCCACCGCTACAACATCCGCCTCCACGGCCCGGTTCCCAACCACCGAAGACTGCCCTGCTGTCACGTGGTCAGTCTGCTGTTTCCGCCCCACGGCGTGCCCTCCCGACGGTAGGAGCCAGCTACCGCCCACCGGCCTAGGACCACGACTCCCCCCCACTCGCAATTCCAGGCCGAACAAGTATTCCTCCACCGGGAGTTTCGAGTCCCTGGCTCCCCGGCAAAATTGATACGAGTGTCCAAGCATCCCACAAAAATAACAATACGTATGTAGGCGCTCATACTTGAACGTGACCCAGCAGCTTGTCTTATCCCGCTTAATAAAATTCATCCGTCTTTTCAAAGGCTTATCAACAGACAACGAAACCCTAATACGATGAAACACCTTCCATGGTACATTATTGAAGCGGTCATCACTCTTAACAAACTTGCCCAAGAAATTTCCAATCTGTTCCAAGATCCGAGAGGACGAGTATCCCTTCGGCACTCCGTGCAATTGGACCCATAGATCCACCGTATCCAATACTACATCAATCGGCATGACTCCGTCAGGGACTTGCTTGCATACTAGTGTGCTATTATCAAAGGACCATGGCCCCTCATTCAGAACACGTTCCATGTCCGTTACATGATGGAAAACAAACAGGAAACGGCCAGGGTCTATCTCCGTTGCCTCAACCCCACTGACCGGCTGCCAAACTGATGCCAAGACCCGACTCATAAATTCCAACCTGACTAGCTTCCGTGTCAAGAATCTGCCCACAACTCCCCAGCTCTCCTCCACATCTCCCCCCGCCCCCCCATCGGCCTCCGGTTCGTCAACCGGCAAGAAGGCCGTAGCCTCCTCCTCCAAAACGACGTCCACCCATCGAGCCGTTAGGGCCGCCACTGCAGGTTCCTCCGTTGTTGATGCCATCCGCATGCAAGCAGATGTTCAGCGCTGGTCGTAGATACGGATGCTACCGTAGAAAGAAGTCGATGGATCGACCGAAGGAAAACCTAGAAAACCCTATGTTGAGAAAATTTCATCATATATTTAATTTACTGTTGGTCTAGTAGATAGTAGATTATATTTGACAATAGACACACATAACATTACAAGATCAATCCAACTGGACGGGAAGCTGAGAGCCTGCATCATTTAAAGAATCATATTTAAAATATTTCGTGCAGATCTCATGCATTTATGATATATCACAAAAGAGTTAATTTCACTTTTGATTGTATGACTGTTGGGATATTGTTAATTTTAGTTGACAAATTTTAAAAGAGTTAATACCCAAAATCGTCCTCGACTATAGTGGTTTTTCTCAATTTCGTCCTAAACGACTTTGGTGACTTAATATCGTCCCAAACTTTTGTGTTTCGCTCAATTTAGTCCCAGACTTTTGTGTTTTTGCTCAATTTAGTCCCTCATTTGTTATTTTGTCCATTTGGTGTTAAATAAATAGACAATTCAGTAATTTTAATATTGACATCTCTTTACTCATAGACATGTGAACTGCGAAATCCCTTTTTTTTTTTACGAATTACTCCTAAAACTGCGAATATAAAATTTGATTTGCAGGTCCGGGAGTAATTCTGGGTGTAATTCGTACAAGAAAGAGGAATTCCGCACTTCACAAGTTGAAAGTAAAGAGAGATCAATATTGACATTACTAAATTGTCCCTTTATTTAACACTAATTTGACGGAATAACAAATGGAGGACTAAATTGAGCGAAACACAAAAGTCTGGGACGATATTAGGTCACCAAAGTCGTTTAGGACGAAATTGAGAAAAACCACTATAGTCGAGGACGATTTTGGATATTAACTCAATTTTAAAATTGTCAATTTAGTATCGTGACTATTCAATTTTTCTCAATTTCGGTCTATCCAGTGAAGTGATCAAAATTTTTTTGAAAGCAATTTAATCATTTGCTCATCATTTCTTCTTCTCCGTTTCTTCTCTTCTATGCCGGAAAATGGAGAGTAAAAGAGGCAACAGAGAGTCTGGTTTTTGTTGAAAGGGTGGTTGACCTTCTCTATTCTTGCCAATGATTTATCCATATTTCAACAGCCCTTTCGTTCCTCTGGAAATGGAATATTACAGATACAGAGAGATGGATTATATATAGTACATTCTACCCTCGTTTGGTTTTAATTACTGCTGTTTTCTCAATCCTCTTCACTCTTTCCATGGAAACTCTGTTTTTGGTCGTCTGTGATCTGTAAACTATTGTTGCTAGCTTAATCTCTCTGGATGGCTAGATAGATGCCTTGAAACTTGAAAGTGAGGTGATGATGATATTTTTTGGTTTCTGTTCTTTCTGAACTACTCATCTAGGCAAAAAATTATTGGAAATATGAATTTCATTGTTTGGTTGTGTTGAGTTTGGAATGGTAATAATCTAAAATCTAAAAACATAATAAGTGTGGATGAAAGTTATACCCCTGATTTGTGTCTGTTTTTTGCGTTAAGTTTTTTTTTATACATTATGCTATAAAGGTTGTACATTAAAATATTTTAGACAAACATACCTCTACCGCTATAATTTCCGTTATCTTTTCCACTATTGTTACCATGCACATGCGTTCACCGTATATTTTCTTATCTTCTTCATTAATAATAATATATAAACATTATATATTTGAGTTATATGTTAATTATTACATAAAATATAAATATCAAATTTACAAAAATGATTTACATTATTATTATTATTATTATTATTTAAAATAATTTAAACATCTAAAATCTAAATAAATTTAAAATTTTAATATAATGTATTAATATTGAGCACCTATTTTTTGCGCATTGTGCATAAAAAAAAATACTAGTTATAAATATAAAGACCAATATGCCCTTAACAATAATATATATGTGTAATTAATAAACTTTGATGAGGGTAAAATAGTCCAATTGTGTTATACTTTCTTCCCAAAATCTTTGGAAAATAAAATACCAATCCTTTGCTAGGATTTTATTTTCCTTCACTTTAAGGAAGTCAAGTTCAAGCGAAAAATATTTCATCCAACTAAATAACATTTTCCTCCACTTTTAAAAAAATATTTTCCGTAGAAAATTTTTTCCATCCAACCAAACACCCCTACTATTCTAACTTCTAAAAAGCAAGCATAGTCCCCAATGGATGCTCCAAGATTTATAAGAATCCTGTTGATGTTGATGTTTATGTTGATGTTTGCGGACCCTTTCTACTAGGATGGCATATATTTCACCCTTACCCTTTTGCTTTATAATCGGCTCAAAGAATAAGGCTTTACAGAGAATATGGTATTTTTATGGATGGTTGCAAAGCTCTGCTTTAATTTGCCAATGCAACAGACTGAAATTGAAAAAAGTTGAATAATTACGATACTAAATTGATAAGGTATTTTAAATTGTTTATTAAAATTTTTTCGATTATTTTTTGCTGACAATTTGACTAGATAGACTGAAATTTAAAAAAATTGAATAATTACGATACTAAAATTGATAATTTTGAAACTTGTGAACTGAAATAAACAACACTTCAATTATCTTAGGACCAAAAGTGAAATTAATTCTATCCCAAAATATAATGTTTACACTCAAACTTTCTAGATTGTATTTTTTTTTTTTTTTTTTGAATGAAAACAACCTTCTAGATTGTTGGGTAAGAGAATACTAAAAAGTATATATATTAATGATTTAAACAATACATTAACTTAAAACTTTGTACATACTAATATTAAAATTCTAATTTTTTTCATACCAAAACGTTATTCCAATCAACCATGTTTCTTGCCATTTGCCCTCATTAATAATTGAAATTTCTATAGTATAAATTTATATTAACAATTTACAAATTAATAAATATCAAATTTATCCAACATACTTAAACACAATGAGTCAATACCGTTTCTATTGAAGCTCAAATTCATGACCTCTCATTTAGAAAAGTCACTTCATGTCACTAGATCGCAAGATCATTGCCGAGCAATATGTGACATAAAAATATTGAAATTCATAATCTTATCGAAGGAGATCACACATTCACACGCACTATTTTGGAGGGCAAAATGATAAAGCTAAACTTATCTTCCAAATATTATCTCCTTGTTAGATCTTCCATACTTGTGCTTAGATTTCTTTTTCTTTTCTTTTTTTTTTTTAATTTTTTTTTAAACCAAAACCAAAGCCCCATCTTGTTCAATCTTTCTCCATCTTCTTCTTTTATTGCATATTATATATCTGTCGTTAACATATTATGCGCATATAGTTAATATATTATGTGTTTTCAATTTATTTACAAGCACATAATTTATTGACGGAAATCAGATAATATGTTAACTATATAAATGTATATACATAATTTTTAAATTAAGACCCACATTATAAGATAAACATGATTGATGATAGCAAATCTATACTATATATAAAAATAAAATCCTCCATTTTAATTTCCCGCCCAAAATAGTTCTATACTATTAAGATTTCCTATATATCCGTACTACACTTCTACATTAAAATTCATATTCTAATATTATTATAAAATAGTGTAATACAAATCCTAATAGAATATATTGTTTCTTATTTTTCTATTCGTATTACTTCTGCATTAAAATTCATATTCGTAATACGATACAACAATATTAAAATTCATATTTCTATTCAACAATATTGATGATATAGTGAATTCTCCCAAAGGAAAGAAGATCGCCATGTTTCTTGATAATAATGGCACTCTTTCCCCATTGTGGAAGACCCGACAAAGCTTTCATGCGCCCGAGGTTGGTTCAACAATATATAGAAATGTTTATAATTCCATCTTTAATTTTATTATCTAAATAAAAAAAATTATCTGTGCATCGCACGCGCATCGCACGGGTAATTGGGTAATATTCGTTGTTATAATTTATATTTGTATATCGATTCAAATATTTTTAAAGTATTTTTAAAGTGTTATAATTTTATTATCTATCTATCTATCTATCTATCTATCTATCTATCTATCTATCTATCTATCTATATATATATATATATATATATATATATATATATATATATATATATATATATATAAAATATCCGTGCATCGCACGCGCATTGCACGCGGATCGCACGAGTACTTGGGTAATATTCGTTGTTATAATTTATATTTGTATATGTATATTGATTCAAATATTTTTAACCATAATTTAACCACAATATTTTTAACCATAATTCAAATATATCGAATTTCAGCTTTTTTCTTGGCTGCTAAAATGAAAAGTTCGGGGGAACACATAATTTAACCACAATATTACAAGATCCAAATGAAAAATCTCAATCTTGATGTTTCAAACCTTAGCTTAATTACCTCGGATTCTTGCTTGCCAGCTACATAGTAGCCAAATGGATACAATGACTGCAACTGCTGGCACAACAGATACTGCAACAATAATTGTGGTTTTGCTGCTCTTATTATCTGTTCAAAACAAGTTCCATTTGATGGTTAGTTTAGACATCAAAACTTGGTTGAAATTAAATTGAAAGGATAAAGTTTAATTAGAACTTACCTAATTCGGAATGATGAAAACGAACGAAAAGAGTACTCCCATTGCCTTCATCTAATTGCATCATATCAACCAATTCATTCCTCCATAACATGCAGGAGATCCTATCAGGAACAGGTCGGGCGTATGCATTGCAAGAGCAGTCCTCTTCACACTTATTTTTACAATCCTCTCAACTTCTCATGTTTCTATCAATATCAGCGAAATCGGGCAATTTGATGTGTTTAACCTCAAGAAACCTATCATTTTCACCAACCTCTATGCTGTTCTTCTGGCATTGCAATAGAGTCCTTCTGGTACACCCTCCTGTCCAGTTTCTTGCGTTCCATTGGTTCCAATCACTCGGTTTGAATCGATTTATGTAGACGCAATTTGTAACATTATTGCTTGAACTATCACATCTTGCAAATTTACCACGATGATTGTAAAAAAATTATCTGTGCATCGCACGGGCATTGCACGCGCATCGCACGGGCATTGCACGCGCATCGCACGGACATTGCACGCGCATCGCACGGGTAATTGGGTAATATTCGTTGTCATAATTTATATTTGTATATCGATTCAAATATTTTTAAAGTGTTATAATTTTATTATATATATATATATATATAATATCTGCGCATCGCACGCGGATCACACGGGTAATTGGGTAATATTCGTTGTTATAATTTATATTTGTATATCGATTCAAATATTTTTAAAGTATTATAACAAATCAATTCCGTGCAACGCACGTGTGAAAATACTAGTTATACCATAAACCAGGATTTGGTGACCCTGGTCTAAAAATAACGTTAAGATCTTGTATCTATAGTTAACAAATTCTGCATATGCAGTTGATAGTTTATGTACTAGTAGTTATCATATTATGTGTAAGCAATTATCAAATCAGATTATGTATCTATAGTTGACATATTATGTATTTGCAGTTGTCAGCAATTATCAAGTTAATTATTTGTTTATATATATAAAAACAGTTATAAACTATATATACAAAATGTGTCAACTGAATATATAAAATTTACAACCATATCAAATGAATCGAGGAACTAAGGACATTTCCAAGACCAATAGTTGCTCCCGAAAAAGTAGAAAGGATATAACTTTAGATAACGAGAATGAGAATCTAGACTTCACAATACAAGAATGGGGGACTCAATCATCAACTTATTGATTCCATTTGTCTAGGAAAGTTAGCCATTTCTTATTGTGAATACTTTAGCACTGTGCACCCCGCGCTTCTCAAAACGAAGTCGTTTTGGGAGGCGCGGTAGGGAGCTGACGTGATTATGCGTATTTGTTTATACAATTATGTGTATCTGTTTATACAATTATGTACATTTTTTATACAATTATGTACATGTTTTTTATACAATTATGTACATTCGAATCAGGAAATTAAAAAAAAGTATGTGTATTTTGTTATATAATTATGTATATTCATGTATACAATTATGTGTATTCTAGTATAAATTTATGTACATTTTTAAACATGAGATTTTTTTAAAAGAAAATTAACCGCAAACACAGGCAGGTGAAATAAAAAAAAAAAAAAAAAATTGAAACGATGTCGTTTTGCATCAGGGCGCACAATGCAATGCGCGTCCTGATGCACGATATAAATTGCCATCAACACAATGTCACAATATGAACCTTGATCCATGGTATAATAATTCTTCCAAAAGATTGAACCCCAACCCTAAGGGCCCCCACACCCCGACCCGACAGAGCATTTGAAAGGATGTAAGTCATGGTGACTCAACTGAACATGAACCACAAAGGCTCAACTGGTGTTCACTGCGCACAAGGAACCCCCTCACTTTGAAAGTCCATGTATAATAATTTAATTGATGATATAACATAATTGAAGATAGATAGCTTGTGACTTGTGAGTATTTAAAATAGGCGTGTATACTTTCGCTACGTGGCCGGCCCTGCTATTTCAGCATAGGTCTTGTCGCCGACAATCCAATTTCTGTTTTTTTTTTTTTTTTTTTTTTTTTAAATGATCTATCTTAATCATCAGCATCAACAGTTATGCCATGAACTTGGGTCCAGATCAAAATACACAATTTATATATCAAATTTTTACAATTTACATATTAAATGTCAAATTGTAAATATTCAGTATGTAAATTGTGAAAATATTTAGGGTGTGTTTGGTTGGTGGTTTTGCCCATAGGAATGGGTATAAAAGTGATTGTTGTTTGGTTGATAGGTTTTTAGAACACTACTATGGGTTTCGAATACCCCATCAATTGAAAAACTCATACCCAAATACAATAAGGGTTTCATTCCCTTATTCATTTTCAAACACTACTATTAGTAACCATTCCCATTCCACCCTACTACCAAACATGTTAAATACTTTCATCAAAACTCATTACCATTACCAAGTATTTGATATCCATTCCGATTCCTATGTACGAACCAAACACACCCTTAGTATATAAAATTGTGAAATTCAATAAGTAAATTGTGAATATTCAATATATAAATTGTGTATTTTTGGATCAAGATTCACCGTCGCAAGGTGGACCTGAATCCACAAGATAATTTGCCCTTAATTAGTACTCCATCTATCTCATTTTATGTATCTGATTTTTGTGTGGATCATGGTCCACATAGTATTATGTGGACCATAACAAAAAGTACAGTTTTAATATATTAAATGTTCATTATTTTTGTACTGAATGTACATTATAGAATATAATGTACACTCAGTACACAAATTATGTACATCTCTGAATACAATGTACATTATTTTTGTACTGAATGTACATTATTTTACTGTATACAAAATATGATCCACACAACTTGTGTGCACCATGGTCCACACAATAATGGTTGTGGTTCGATTAACTAGACTTGACTGAAGTTATTTTTAATTCAATTTTTCATAATATTAAGTTTAGTATTATTATACAAAATTTATATATTTATAAACTACACTAGTATTATTAAACACAAAAAAATAAAAAAAAATATTAAAAAAGAAAATAAATAATAAAGAGGTTGTTTGACCTGTAATCTGAGGATTATTCCACGCACACTCACTTTTTGGAATTCAAAAGCTAATAAGCTAAAGTAATTGACTAGTTGCATGCGGCGTATAAGTCAGCAAAAACAGCAACCAAAAACATGCTCAGATCACTCTCACTTAATTAGCTACCATCTTTGTGGTTCATTCTGGTAACCATGGAAGCTCTCCCTCTTCATCACTGCAAACTTCACAAATGGCAGGCCTTCATCCACAGAATCCATGCCTTCATCCACTCCATAGCTTTAATCTCCATCATTTACTACAGGCTTTCTTCCATCTTTCTCCCCGCCGCTTTACCTTGGCTTTTGGTTTTCGTTTCTGAGATCTTCCTGTCCCTTCTCTGGCTCTTCTGCGCCGCCTTTACATGGCGGCCGGTCTCCCGGACCGTCTTCCCGGAGAGGCTGTCGCCGGGAGATGAGCTTCCGGCTATTGACGTCTTTGTCTGCACCGCTGACCCCAAGGCGGAGCCGCCTTTGGGGGTGATGAACACCGTTTTGTCTGTCATGGCTCTGGACTACCCGCCGGAGAAGCTCTCGGTTTATCTTTCCGATGACGGCGGCGCTTCCGTAACGCTGCGCTCCCTCCGGGAGACGCGGCGGTTTTCCCGGGCTTGGGTCCCGTTCTGCCGGGAGTTTGGGGTGGTGAATAGGTGCCCGGAGGCGTTTTTTGCAGAGGCTCATGATAGTAGTAGTGTTGAGTTTTTAGATGAAAAAGAGAGAATTAAGGTTTGAAACTCGATCTGATCTGTTTAATTTCAATCATTTCTCATCTTTCTGGGATTAATTTCAAACATTCTCTACTCTGCATGGTTTTGCAGAGGGAATATGAGAGATTCCGGGAGCGGTTGAGGGTAGTCGGAGAAGAAGAAGAAGATGCGACTATTGGAAATGGCCAAAATCACCCTCCTTCAATCGAGGTGCCTAAATATCTACCCTCCGTAATTTTTTATAATAGTAAATTTATTTAGGGTGTGTTTAGTTCCCAAATGAAAATTAGAATCGGAATGAGTATCAAAATACTTGATAATGGTAATGGTAATGGGTTTTGGTGAAAGTATTTTGTCTGTTTGGTAGTAGGGTGAATGAGAATGATTAAGGTAAGGATGAATAATGGGATGAAACCCTTATCAAATAAGGGAATGTATTTTTCCATTAATGAGGTATTCTAAATTTATAGTAGTGTTTTATAAACCAGTCAACCAAACAATAACAATTACTTTCATACTCCTGAGTGCTAAACCTGCCAACTAAACACACCCTTAATATACCAAATTTATATATTTTGAAAGTACACTAAAATACTATTAAACACAACAAATTGAATTTAAAAATAAGTAAAAAATATTAAAGAAAGTAAACAAGAATTGTGTGTTGACCAACGAATAATAAGGCAGATAAAATAGGATAAATTGAATATTTTAGCTTTTTTGATGGGTCACTTTCTAACCAGGGGTTTTGCTTTTGCCTTTTACCATATATTGCAGTATTTACCCCTTTAGGAAGGTAGACGTTCACAAGCTAAAAAGTAATAAATTTTAAAAATATTACCCATCTCAAGTCAAACAATCTCACAAAAAGAAATTATTACTTTTTAAATCAAAATAATGTTTATCATTAAGAACAAAAATTAGAAAAATATACGTTTTTTTAGTGACGAGGAAATCCTGCAGCTATCAAGTACACTAGCTAAACTTTGCATTGTAATCTTAACAAGTAAATAACCATAATTAGGTAAATCAGAAAGACTAGTTCAAATCAAGAAGACCAATTTAGTTTGATTAAAAAAAAATCTTTAATAATCTTTTAATATATATTATAAATTTTCATATTTGGTTGGTGACAAAGGTTTTTTTTTAATTTTTTTTTATTTTATGAATTTCAAATATTAAAATATGATTTTTTTTTTCTTTTGAGATCCTTTAATAGTGAAATACAAAGTTTCGTTTATTTCTTCTTCACGACATTTAAATTATATTTCTTATATATTCTATTCTGCAACCCAAAAGGCATTAGAAGTATTATTTTATCAAATAATGTTTTATGGACAAAAAATAATGTGGATAGAGATTTGTGCATGCCAATATTTTCATCAAATATAACGATGAGTTTTCACAAGAGTGTTATATTATTTTTAATAAATATATTTATGCTCTTAAAAGAAATTCATTATGTTTAAAAACCCTTTAAGTGTAAATATTAATTTAATTTATATATAGATTATAGATTATAATACTAAATAGAAAAGAGATGGATTTATTATATGTTGTATGATGTAGGTAATAGGTGAAGGTCAAAGCGGCATTGACGCAGCAAATGGTAGTAAAGTTGAGGTGCCTCTTGTTGTGTATGTTTCCCGTGAGAAAAGACCATCAAGCCCTCATCATTTCAAAGCCGGAGCTCTCAATACTCTGGTATTTTCGTCATTATGATCAGTTTTGTTTAATATTTTTAGTTCATATATAATGGGAAATTAAAACACACACACACACACATATATAGGCTAATATTCGCAAATTATGCTGTGGAAATGTGTTCACCATGCGCATGGTGAACACATTGGTAGATCCATAATTTTTATATTATAGATTCATAATTTTTTTTTTAAACGTAGATTCATAATTTTGTTTGTCATTTGTTGTTACAGAAATTATGAATCTACGGTATAGATGTTATGAATCTATAATATAGAAATTATGAATCTACAGCTTAGAAATTATGGATCTATCCCGTTAACAACAAATGAAAAACAAAATTATGAATCTACGTTTTCAAAAAAAAAAAAAATTATGAATCTACAGTATAGAAATTATGGATCTACCCATGTGTTCACCATGCGCATGGTGAACACGTTTCCACAGCATAACTATTGGCTAATGTTCCAGTGGGCCGGGACAACATCTTCCGTGAGACTGTGAAACATAAAATGAATGCACACGATCTACTACAGGAATGCACAAACACTAGATTGTGTGCACTCATGTTGGGCAAATTGCGTACCGTCTAGTTTTTGTGCATTCCTGCAATAGATTGTGTGCATTCATGTTGTGTCTTACAATCTCACCGGAAGACTACAAGACGTTGTGATTATATATATCCTCTTTGCAGCTTCGAGTGTCTGGATTGATAAGCAACTCTCCTTACATATTGGTATTAGACTGCGACATGTACTCCAATGACCCTTCTTCAGCTCGCCAGGCAATGTGCTTCCATCTTGATCCTACCATCTCTTCTTCACTAGCTTTTGTTCAGTTCCCCCAGAAGTTTCACAATCTTAGCAACAATGACATCTACACTTCTGCCTTGGCCACCTTCTTCGAGGTATGTTAGTCCATCTCGTATTACTCAATTCACATAATTTGATCATTAGACAAGCTATAATATTTTCTTTTATTTTTATGTTCTAAACATGCGGTGAAAAATATCGTTATGTTGTTAATGACATCTAGCATTCTAGTAAGTGCACATGTTAGTCATCTCAAATTAATAGATGAAATGGTTCAATTTTGGTTGGTATATATTAGGTCAAGTGGAGAGGCATGGATGGACTTAGAGGACCAGTTTTGTCTGGGACATGCTTTTACATTAAGAGGAAGGCACTATACGGGATGACTATAACACCAAAAGGTATGTTATAATAAGATGTTTATTTGTTATATCATATATATATATTTTTTTGGAGTGCCACACTCATCATACTTAATTGTATATATAATTGCTTTAATTTTAACAAGAACAATGTTGTTATAACTTATAATGTATATCTAAAGTTTAATTTTTTTTTTTTTTTGAATGGACCCTGAGACAGATGTAGACATTACTAAGCTCAGAGACTCTTTTGGTCCTTCTTCATATCAGTTCACAAGTTCACTTACAAGAAGCAGCATCAATGGCAACACAGACTTGGTGGATTCATTGCTCAAAGAGACAGAATCTGTAGCCTCTTGTGCTTATGAGAAAGACACACAATGGGGTAAAGATGTAAGTACACCTAGCTCACTGGACCTGAGCCACCAGAGAAATCCGTAACCATTACCCATTCAGGACGTGTCATGGGTAAATCCTATCTGACCCTAACCGGCATCATTAATTTTGAACCACGAGAGAAACCTGTAACAATTATCCATTTAGGGCGTGCAGTGTCATGGGTAAATCTGGTCTTCTGACCCTAACGGGGCATCATTAATTTTTTTTTTTCCTGAATATGATGACATTTTGTTGGAGTGCAGATTGGTTTCATGTACAATTCAGTGGTGGAAGATTACGCGACAGGGTTTATGTTGCACTGTAGAGGGTGGAGCTCTGTTTTCTGCAACCCTGCCCGGGCGGCATTCTTGGGCAGCGCCACCACAAACTTGAATGACACATTGGTTCAGGGCACAAGATGGAATTCTGGTTTGCTAGATTGTTTGCTTTCAAGATTCTGTCCTCTCATTTATGGGCTACCCAGAATGCCCATCCTTGACTGCTTTTGTTACGCTTATCTTGCGGCTCAGCCTCTCTACTGCTTACCAGCTTGGTGTTTAGCTGTTGTGCCTCAGCTGTGTCTGTTAAATAACCTCCCAATATACCCTAAGGTATCAAATTTTAGTCAAATTGTCTTTTAGTCTGACAAATGTTGTTTCTAGTTTGTTAGTCCTTACAATTAAGTGTTTTAATTATGCGCCCTACCAAATAATTCCTAACCCAACAGAATAGTTTACGAGTAAATAAGGATCACTTAGCGGCTCATTAGGTGAAAGGACCAGTGCTTAGTGCCCACAAGAAACATACCACATTGTGTGTAACTCTCACATTGAGGCTCATTAGGTGGACAAATAATATCGTGGACCATTGTGGATCCTGGTCCAATACACAGAATTTGATCTCATAATGCACAGAATTCATGTTCATAATACACATACAAATAAACACGATTTAATGAACATGAATTCTGTGCATTATGAACATGAATTTTGTGTATATTATGTTAATTGTTTGTGTCATCTGCTATATAATACACAGAATTCATGTTCATTACATCGTATTTATGTGTATGTGTATTATGAAAATGAATTCTGTGCATTATGAATATGAATTCTGTGTATTGAATCAGGGTCCACGATATAACAATTGCATTAGGTGGGTGGGGGGCACCGGGCATGGGACTTGGTTGGTGTAAGGATCCTACAACATTAGGTATAACTCCCACACTGAGCTGCCGGCAAACCAAGGTTCACTTTGCATTGTGAATCCTGGTCCAAAATGACATTCAGATTATGTGTCATGACATAATTTTTGAATCAGATCTACAATGTAAGGTGGACCTTAGTCTATGGTATAACAATTGGCCGTTGCCAAAGCTCGATCATGTATTATTACTCACAATCTACAACCCCAATTAAGAATCAACTGAGCTGTATGTGCGGGTTTTGACTAACTCTAATCTTATTAATTGGTGATAGGTTTCGAGTCCATGGTTCATGATATACGCTTTCGCCTTCATCTCTCCCCTAGCAAAGTACTTATGGGATGTTGTCATCAGCGGCGGAACAACCCAGACATGGTGGAACGAGTGGCGAATGTGGATGATAAAGTCCATAACAGCTTATTTCTATGGCAGCCTAGACGCAGTTATGAAGCTGATTGGTATCAGGAAAGCCAGCTTCATACCAACCAGCAAAGTTGTGGATGAAGAGCAGCTGAATAGGTACCAAAAGGGCATATTCGATTTCCAGGCATCGCCTATTTTTCTTGTCCCCTTAGTAACCTTAACCATGCTAAACATGTTGGCCTTAACCTCGGGAATTGCGAAAGTGTTGGTGGTAGGAAGGTTAAGGTTGTTGGATGAGTTTTTTGGCCAAGTTTTTGTGTCGTTCTTCATCTTGCTGGTGAATTATCCGATAGTTGAAGGAATGGTGTTTAGGAAGGATAAGGGGGGAATTTCACTTCGTGTTACTATGTTGTCTGCTCTACATGCTGTAGTTGTCGTTACTCTTAGCTTTATTTGTTTCTTGCCCGTAAAAGACAGAATCTCTCACCCGGCTCGATAAGATTTGTAGAAGTGAGAAAGTATCCACAATAAGTGTATAGTAGCTCCTATTCTACCACTGTTAAGACTAAATTTTGTGTACTTGCTAATAATCTGTTACTCACAAATTAACTGAGTGAACTATGCATGACATCCTTATCCATAATCTGCCACCCAATTTTATTATTTCTTGTTTACTATTAGTTGATCATGGATGTTTAAAGTGTAATTGAAACCGTGCATTTTTTATACAATTTATATACTGTAAAATACTCTAGCTTGAAGATCATATATTTTGATTGATATACTTATTATTTAATCTTACAATGTATTCTCGAAAATAGTGAAATAAGTACTATTATTGTTTTGAAATAAAAAAGGAAAGAAAATCTATTTGCATCAATTTTATAAACATATATATTTTTTTTGAAAATTTATAAACATATTTTTTAAACATTGGTTGTGAAAATTCAATTAACCTACTTAGTCAATTATTGTGTCCTAGTTTTACAATGTGACATGTATATATCGACCTAGCCTGATTGTTTTGTATAAGTGGATATAATTGGTTGATTTTTCTATCATGGCCCGTCTACTATATACAATTGAGTTATCATATAACTTATTAATATCTAGATAATTGAAAAAACAACTCCAAAACAATATCGTTTTGGAATATAATAAAGATAAAATAAAATGAAAAAAATTTCGCTGGTGTTAACTAACCCCACATTTAGTAACACATTTCATTTCCATTAAAAAGTTAAAATGTGTTCATATTATTCAAAATCATATATATTTTTAAAGTGAAACAAATACTTCTTCAAAGTAATAAATTTCTCATTCTTATTATTCATTTCAAGTATATAAATATACGAAATACGAAATTTATCATCTCATTATTTTTATCATGTGAGTGTTAAAACAAATATCTATATCAAAATTTTTTTTTAAAAAAGTAAAATTTAGAAATAGAATTTGAAAGTAGACATAACAATTTTCAGAATATATAGTGATGGGATCCGAGTATGTAGCCTGCAAACGTCAACGGCATCGTGTTCCACACCAATCTGAAACTAAAACGTAACTCCAAATCTAAAAACAAATTACAGAGCAGTAAAAGATGGATGGTAGAAATGCATTTGTCAGCTCTGTGAAACAAACGCATTATTACGAACAAAAAGGGAAAGATAAAAGGCACTCATCAAACGTATGACGTTCTCTTTGATAGTTCCCATGTATTCTACTGTTTCCAGTGTTTCCAGTACTAGTACTGCTACTCAGTCTATATATATATTAAGTGAAACAGAAAAGTAACATTGTAAAAAGATTTCTACTACCTATACCCTTAAATTTTATTTCATTATTTTTACTCCCTAGTATGACAATTAATAATAAAATACTAGCTTTTATTATGTAGATTCATGAAAAGTATCTACATCAATAATTTGTGAGAGATAGTAAAAATTGAAAGTAAGAAGTGATGATTCATGTAGCTAGTATTTTTCTTGTAAAAAATAGAAAAATAGTGCATGAATTTCCATTTTTTACTCCCAACTTTTACTCTCTCACAAGATGTAGACACTTTTTCTAAGATTCACATGATGAAAATATCGTATCCTTGTTTTCCACATAATTGAGTAAAAAACACTTTTACAAAAATCGCACCAAAGGCGTTGACTACGTCTCGATGGACTAAACAGTCGTCTAAGTGGCTGATTAGCTATTTTTTTTGTTTTTGTTTTTAATGGGTTATTTTGCTCAAACAACGTCATTTTGAGCAAAATAAAACCGTTCAAATCCGTGTCCAAAAAATGTAAAAAAAAAAAAAATAATAATAATCAAAATCAGCTACTCTAAGGGTGTGTTTGGAAACCCGAAAAATGATTTCTGAAAATCTTTTTCTGAATTTTCAGTGTTTGGATGTGCCTGGAAAATCAAGTCAACGAAAATCATTTTCTGTTGAGTTGGGAAAATAAGGCTCTTCTGGAGGAAACTAACTTCCGCCAAAATTTCACAGAAGTCATTTTCCACAAGTTGACAACAATCGTTTTTGACGGAAACCAAAGGTCTGATTTTCGCCGGAAACTATAGCTCTGGTTTCTGCAGGAAACCATAGCACTGCTCTGGTTTCCGCAGCAGCAACTGGAGCAGCTCTGGTTTTCGGTGGAAACCAATATTTATTGGTTTCATTCAGAAACCAGAGGGGTTTTTTTTTCCAATTTTTAATGAATAACATTATTTTTATATTATTATAAATATTTTTATATTCAAAATAAAACAATTAAAGTGTTTAATTATACAATTTTACTCATTTTTCAAAAAATGAACCAAACACACTAAGACAGATTTTCATAACGCAACCAAACACTGAAAATGAAATTATTTTATGGAAAATGACTCATTTTTCATAAAACATTTTCCATAAGTTATTTTCCTAATTTTCAAACACACCCTAATATTAATACTTCGTGAGTTGTGAATTTTGTGGAATTGTGTTTTGATTATTTAAATGTTTATACAATTTATAATTCTAGATATTTTTTAAGATTGTATTTAATATTTTAGTATTAACTATTAAAGTATTAAATAATTTATAATTATCAAGTCTTAATTTTTTTTTTAAAAAAATTATATATATATAAAAATCGTGCCTACGCGCCGATTAATTGGCATCTAGGCGCTAGGCCCCGGGCATCCAAGTAATGCCAAGCAAAGGTTAGTGGAATACATAATTAAATGTTTGTAATGGATGAGTTGAATAGGCCGGATATATATTGGGTAATCACTGCATTCTCGGCTTTACAACCTTACTGAAACATTAAATCCAACCCCAAATATAGGAAGCATATTATATGATGCATGGGAGGCCTGGTTTGGCCACCAGTCATTCACTCAATCTTGGGCTAAACATGGTACAATCTTTTGTTTGTTTGGAGGTTCTGCCAAAAGTTTCATCCTTCTTAGGAACAAATTGGAAACCAAATCTGGTGTTGGATGCCTTCACTCAGCTTTCATTTCTGTCTTTCATATCCAACAAGTACTAATTATTAATTAGCTAGCCACCAACAAACATTCAAGAATTGAAAGAAAAGCTAATCATCATACATGACTCATCATTAAAATGAAGACAATAATGTATTATTATTATTATTAGATTTTTCAGCTTATACTAGATTAATTCTAAGACCTCAGAACCCCTACCCAATTAAGGTGGCGGGAGGAGATAAATTATGATTTGCCCAATCAGTCATAAGTTTTCACCCGTCACTATACACTCTGTGCACAAAGAGTCTTCATCACATCTAAACAATTTTTTGTGCTTTGGGTCTCCAAAGTCCAAATGACCCCATGTCTTCAATGGGAATTGAATTGAACCCACCGTACCACTGGAGCAAGACATAAGAATGATGTATTTTGTGTATGAGTTATGCTTGTTATGACAACTCTATTAAGAGCAATTTTATTTTTTAGTCCTACCCTTTTAAATTTGCCACATTACATTTAACTTTTATTTGTTTGTTGTAATCAGTATTCCATTTATTTTATATTTTATTTTTATCATTCCTTCATTAATAAAAAAGGTTAACATGTAATTTCATCATTTAAATCCTTGTCCTAAGGCTATCCGCACGCATGCAATTCCCCTCCTTGCAAAACCTACATGACTTTTTTTTTTTTTTTTTTTTTTTTTAAATGACACGTAAATTGCTGATTTGCAATTCTGAGAATTGTACATTTTGCAATTCTGAACAGGATTGCAAAGCAGCACTTTTGGGCTTTTAAATAATAATAATATTATTATTATTAGTATTATTTTATTAATAAAACAAATAATTTTGTATAAGGTGGATGTGAAAATGAGATCATTTTTAAAAGATGAGAGAAAATTACATGGATAGAGAGTGAATAGTGAATAATTGCAAATTTAGTGATATAACAGTTTGAAAGTCAGAGAAATTGTAGAGTCATAGACTCATAGACAATAAATAATTTCAAAGTCATTGAAGATAGTCTAACATATAATTTCATCTCCCTCTCGTAAACCTTTTTTTATTGAATGATGGAATTACATGTTAGCATTCTTTGAATTCATAAATGAAAGTTGAAAATTATTAAGAAAAAAAAAAAAAAACAGAAACTAGAGTACATATTTTATTCGTTTGAAATCATTGTGTCATTGGAAATGTAATACATTTTGACATAAAACTGCAGCAGAGAGATCAGAAAGAGTTCAAACAGGACTGGGGAACATCGATCATCTGGATCTGTTTCGTAGAATTAGCAAAAGGTACAATCTGGCAGGACAATTTTGTTCTACTTTTAGCACAGGAGAGACCAAACATAGGAGACATTTGCTACAAAAAACACCCAATTGGGGTTTCTTCTTTTGGCTTAAACAATCCTTAGCTTTATAGCATCTGCACTTCTCCTTCAATCAATCCCCCCTCCCCACTACCCGTCCACCCCCCCCCCCCCCCCCTCACAACAAACAAAAATGGAGTACAAGTATTCATCATAAGATTATTTGTAGCATACATATATCATTTAGTAATTATTCATGTATCAATAATAATAATAAAAATAATCAAATATAAGTATATGCTCGATGAGACTACACTGTTGGAAATTATGGAATTTTTGACCACCTGAAAATGATCTTAAATCAAGTCGAAAGTCTTGTTCCGACCACTTTTGGTATCCGAAAAAACCTTTGTTGCTATTTCCGACCACTTTTTTCTTTCAACTTGATATAAGATCACTTTCTGGTGGTCGGAAATTTCATAATTTCCAGCGGTGCTAATTTAACTAACTGATACCGAGTTAGGTCTCATTCAGCAATCTAAACCCTTCTACCTAAATCAACACCTTATGATGAATTATCATATTTTTCATCTAATCTCTCTCTCTCTCTCTCTCCATGTATTGAAGCGTACTTCAACAATAAATAAAAATGAGGCAATCCCCAACCGAATTGATCATACAATTAGTTTGATAATCGCAAGTTCCAAGTTTGACTCTGTGATGGAGCTATCTATTGGCTTAAGCTATGAGCGCAACCTAGATTGATTTATCCTATTATGATCACTAGTAGTTGCACCCGTGCGATGCACGGTTATATATATATATATATATATATATATATATATATATATATATATATATATATATATATATATATATATATATATATAATATATAGAATATACAGTATAATATAATTAGATAGAAAAATATACCGTTTGAAAACCTAATAAATTTGAAATGATAAACTTTGTAATTTTATTACACATTGTTAAATACTTTTTTGTACACAATATTATTAGTCGTACTTATACAGGGTACATTTTTACCACAAATCATTTGTCCGTTAGAGTTACAAGACAAGATTCACTCCAAGCGTACCCAATATGATTCTCGTAAATCAAAGCAATAAATAAAAGTGAATTAATTGATGAATCAAAGATGCACATTTTAACTTGATACTGAAATATCTAATATTTTTTTTAACAAAATAAATTTGGATATATCCCCTCTTTTTGCACACAAGAATTTATAGTTCTTATGTTGTCATCATCATCATTCATCATTCACATAGATACTAGTTAGGTTTGGATGGCCAGTCCCCTCTATATTAAATCTTCCATCCCCCATAATAAAAGAACCCCCAACAAAAACACCCAAAATATCTTCCAAGTTAAAATATAATATTTCTTGTTCATCTGATCTTTTCATGAACCAAAAGACAGGGATGGAGAAAAAGTGCTTAAGAATAAGCATCAGTGAGAGAAACATCAAAGACATGAACAACACTAAGGTTAGATCAGATCCATGGGATCATCATCATCATCGTCATCATCATGGGACTATTGACAGCCATTACAATAGTACTAATAAAGATGGAGATTTACTAGCTGGGTTTTCATGGCCTCCAAGATCTTACACATGTAGCTTCTGCAGAAGGGATTTCAGATCTGCTCAAGCCCTGGGAGGCCACATGAACGTTCATAGAAGAGATAGAGCAAGGCTGAGGCAATCACCCCCTAGAGATAATAGTAATGGTCACCACTCTCCTCTTCTAAACCTCAATCTTGACCCTAACCCTAACCCTAACCCTAACCCTAGTTACATCTTTCCTTCAAGAAAATTCCCTTCATTGAATCCCACATTGGTTCCCTTCATGCCACCATCTTTCCCTCCATCACCTTTAGCCTCATCTTCTTCTGCTCAAATGGCTAAAGGAAGCTTTAAAGCTGAAAGTTTCCCAGTCAAATCATCCCAGCTTGGTCACAGCAAGAAAGAAATTGTTAGATTGGAGTTGGAGATTGGGTTGAAGGAGGACTTGGATTTGGAGCTTCGACTCGGATGCAACACTTAGCTTGAAGGAATTCCCACTTCTTAATTAAGGTTAATTTCACTTGAAAAAACTTTTTTCATCCCCAAAAATGGCCATTAAAATGGGTCACTGTACTTCTGATGATGATTTCATTTGTGTGAAGCATTAAGTATTTTAACAGAGGCAAGCTAAGGCAAGAATAGTGGAGATGAAAAGCTAGAGGTTGATCGTGCTGTGAATTGTTCCAGTTTTAATATTTATTTAGTCTTTTGATGTTACGTTTCTTTAATTAAGTAGATTTATATGTGTGGTTCTATCTTTGATCTCCATGTTACTAAGTTACCATTAGAACTGATCGACCTATGTATCAGTATAATTGCTTCTTCAATTTAATTAGTTGCTGTGTGTGTGTGTGTGTATATATATATATATATTCAAATAGTACGAGAGTGCATTTATCAGGAATGTGATCAACATATATTTAAACTACCAAGTGAAGACTAAATTAACAAATTAATTAAATGGCGTTTGGTTTAATTAATGTATGGAATTGGAATCAAAATAAATCCGAAGAACTCAATTCAGCTAACTGGTTGCCACTGTTTAAGGAGTGCTCTGAGTGCCCTTTGTGATCCTAAGGCTAATAGATATATAGTTCTTGAGACCTTGCTTTTACTAAATTAACAATTCGACCAACTTGGATGAGGACTGTCTCCCACAAGATTCCCTTATTTGCTTGTATGATTTGAAAGGAAAGGTTAGTTGTGTTGTTAAGAACATAGGGTTGTATAAGGAGTGCTTGCATTGGGATTTCAAATAAAGTGGCTTTTTTGGCTATGATGGTTGATCATCATCCTCTTTTCCTTCAACTATACTTGTGGTTTAGATTTCCTCCATCTACGCAAACCCCCTTTTTGGTTTAGTTTCCTTTTGGGAGAAGGGTTGAACTTCTTTATTGGATCAAAAAATTAGCCATCCGTGATCCAATTGGTTGGACACGAAAATATAATTAGATCACTAAAATTTAAAAGTGAAATTAAACAATTGAATATTAAAAGAAATACAATCATTCCCAAAATGACTAGTCACCTAGAAATATCGACCACCTCTATATTTAGACATCTAAAAAATAAAAAGAATTACTTTTTTTTTTTAAAAAAAAAAATCTAAGGTAGTTATCTCTATGTTGAATGGGTAGAATTTAAAACTTTTTCAAATAAAAAGTAAGTGAGCTTGAATTTAGAAATCAAAGATGGGGAAATAAATTTCCTGCAGCACCAGATGTCTTTGAACTTGCCAATTAAAAAGATTGTAGTTATGTTTGGTGATTCTTTTTTTTTTTTTTTTTTTTTTTTTTTTTTTGGTGTACCCAGGAGTTTCCACCCTCAGATATAGTTTGGTGAGATTTGCGTGTATGTGAAAAGATGAGTATGGGGTTAGTTTGCACATATAGATATTAACGAAAAGTAAATTGCGAAAGTGAGAGAAATTTTTATAGTGGTTCAAAATTTTTTATACTTCACTCTTTTCCTTAAACTCCAAGGAGGATTTCAATAAGTATTTGTAACAAAATACAAGTGAAAATGGAAGCCATTTATTAGCTTCTTCCGGCAACAATCCTTGTGATAGTCACGAGCTCCTTGTCAACTTATTCGCCAGTATTTGATCAAGAGCTAGCCAAGGATCAATCACAAAGTTACCTTGCTAGAATGATCTACCAACTTCCTTAGTTTGGAAATATGGTTGTAGTTGGATGCTGGACTTAAAAGAATCATACTAATTCTTCTTTTAGCTTAGAAGACTTGATTTTGCACTAAGTGATTTCTCTCTCAGTGAGCTTTTAGCAAAATAGATGATTTATCACAATTTTTCAGCATTTTCTTCTAAGGGGTCCTCCATTTATAGATGAAGAGGAATGAGCATCATCTTGAATTTTGAATTCACCCGTTGTCACCCAACAAATGGTAACCGTCCAAAAGCTACCACAACCCTTGAAAATCTGTTGCCAAATCTTTTTTTGAGCAGCTTGAGAATCATAGGGTAATGACCGTTTTCCTATCGGTCTAGCACACTTTTGCTTCAAAATTAAAGTACTTCTCTACTTATCACCAATTTGTATGGAGTGTAAACTTGTAGATGTCAGACAAGTTACATTGTGCCTAACAACTCCTTTTCATCCTTCCTCGTATGAACTTTCTTCAAGATTAATTTACTTCCTAATCATCTTTGAAAATGTGGTGAAAGTAGGGAAGTTGAAACTCAATAAGGATGGCGCACGATTGGCATCACTAGTGTGGTTGGCCGGGCTCCTTCACGGTGATAATGGTACGTGGATCATGGGATATAATGTGAAGATCAGATCGGGAACACTAATAATTTCACAGTTAGTTGTGATGCTTAAGGGAGGATTTACGACTTATCTATGAAAGGGGTCTCGATCAATAGCATTTTGGATTTACTTTCCCAAATTTTAAATAATCATATTTTTTATTGATTGAAACTTTCTCATGTCAAACCTCTAAGTCACAAGAAAATATAAATTATTTAAATTGACAAACTAGTTGTATTATATTCTAAAAAATATCTTATATATGCACAGGGAACAAGGTACTCGCAATAAATTAATATAATGTAAAATCATGCATACTGTAGTTCGGTATATGTCCATAACCATTACAAGTAAAAAAAATTTGACAAATCGATGTGTGAATGATGCAAAGAGAAGATGGAATATCTTAAATGCATACACAAACATGGAAGCCATCTCTATCGTCACATTCAAACTTATTGACTATTTATTGTCAGCATAATGAATTGCCTCCATAGTACACACAAATTAAACATAGCTTTTTGAAGATAATAAGAAAATGAAGTTGCATGTAATGAATGATTTAACGTAGGAGGAGGTGATGGCATTTCCAAAAAACAGAGGGCTTGCATGTTCCCAACGATGTGTGGGTGTCAAATGTGATGATGCCATTTCCTTAATCAGAAGTCTTTGTTTTGGTCTTTTCAAAGCCTTACACACAACTGAATGACCCCCATCTCCACTCATTAATATTCATCCCTTGGGCCTTATCACTTTATAAAATAGCAACAATAACAATAATAATATGAGCAAAAGTCAAATAAGACTCTAAATTTTACCCTAAAAATTAATTAGGCCCTTAAATTTTTAAAAAGTATAATTAAACCCTCAAACATGTCAAATTAGGTCAATGATATCCAAAAACTGATAAATAACCTGTTATTACAAGTCATTTCAATTCCGGCGACGGCTACCTTCTATTGCAGAAGGCGACCAGTTGGTCGCCTTCCCCGGCGGAAGGTGGCCAGTCGGTCGCCTTCCGCCGGAGACCTTCACCAATAGAAGGTGACCGGCGACAGCTTTGCCGTCGCCGATCGCCGGAATCTGTCGCGCGAAATTGAATTACCAGTTTTTAGACTTCATTGACCCAATTTGACATGTTTGAGGGTTTAATTGCACTTTTTTAAAGTTTAGGGGCCTAATTAACTTTTGAGATAAAGTTTAGGGCCTATTTGACCTTTTTCTCTAATAATAATAATAATAAGGAAAGAAACAAAAAAAACCATGCAAGCCTATAACTTGTATTATCACTGAAAGCATCCGATTCCAGATATACATTGCAGTTTCAATTCAACACAACTACAATTTCATATCAATTCAATTACGATTTCATTTGATAATATAAAAATAATATGTGAGACAGTTTCATTTTAGATACACTGTAATTTCATTTTGTAATTAACACATAAAAAATACGATCTCCATTAAATTGTAATGGCAACTGTTTCTTTATTTAAAGAAACGGCGCCGTTTTTGGACCATCGTCTCTTTCAGCACAAACTCTCTTATATACTGGGCTTGACTCCCATGGGTTTAATGGACTCTATATAATATGGGCTGCTAAAAGCGTATACATATAAAGCTGAAAATGGGGCAAATTATACTATGGATTAAGATGTATATTACATTGTGGATCCTAGTTTAAAATCACATTAAGATTATTCCCTGTTTAGTAAAATAGTTAAGCTTATCAACCAATTTTTAACTTATTTGACAACTATTAATTGTTTAACTTGGTTAAAAATTAATATAAGTGTTTGATTAATTAGTTTTTTGCAATTCAAAAATTATACTATGGATTAAGATGTATATTACATTGTGGATCCTAGTTTAAAATCACATTAAGATTATTCCCTGTTTAGTAAAATAGTTAAGCTTATCAACCAATTTTTAGCTTATTTGACAACTATTGATTGTTTGACTTGGTTACAAATCAATATAAGTGTTTGATTAATTAGTTTTTTTGCAACTCAAAAATGCTAAAATTTAAAAAATTGCTCAAAGCAATTTTTTCAGTTAGCTTTTTGAGAAAAGAAATTATACCAAACAGCTATCAGCTAACAGTTAATTTACCAAACACCTTTCTACAATCAGCTAATGTTATTAACTAGTTATACCATCTAATTAACTCAATTAGCTAACAGTCATTTACCAAACATGACATATGTGTTGCAGTAAACATATTATGTGCGTGTAAATAAATTGAAGACATATAATATGTTAATTACAGATACTGTTAACTATAGACACATAATATGTTAACCACATGCACATAATATACAGCTAATATATTATGTATCTGTATTTAACATATTATTTGCATGTAGTTAATATATATGCACATAATTTATTAACTACAAACACATAATTTTTGGACCTGAATCCATAATGCAAGATGGACTTTGGTCAATGGCATCTTTCTGGATTTTGAATCAATTTTTTTTTTTTCTTTTTTAACTCGACCATATAATATTAGTTCATCCGAAGTAATTAAAATAGTGGAAGTTAAAAAAAAAGGGGGAATTCACTTGTGTTATTATCATTGATGATGCTGCACTTCCATTTGTCTACATTATAGTTGTCTGTGAAAATCGAAAACTAACGACTACTAAAAGAGACGAAAAGTTTGGATTATTGTTTCTGAAAATACGAGATAGGGTAGGGGAAGCCACATGCACTAGATGATCACCAGAATGTTTCATTTCACTATAATCTTAAACATAAGAATACAAAAAGGTAATGTCGTAAATATGTGGTTGCAGATCCATATTGCTGAGACCAGACAAGAACTAACACTAACCTCAACGGACCAAACAAAATATGCGGTTACTGGATGGTACGGTCTATGCATGATTCACTTTTTAAATGCCTAATTAAATACTACATTACTATACACCGAGATCAAACACATATCATTATTACGTAAGAAGTTATAACAAAAGTGTCACTTTATTTTCTTATACTTGCTAGCTCCCTCTTAGCACCTGCTAGTGTGGTCTACTCTAATGCTAATTGCCATGTCCTACCATTATCCCTTGGTAACCAATTGTTCCAAGTTCGACTTCAAGTGAAATTGGCTTATTGGACTTTTCGATTTGTGCCAGTTAATTAGCTATGGACGACCTAGGCTGATTTACCTTATTGTAGTTCTTTGCTAGTTAGGGTCACAAGGCTGGTTTCACCCAGAGAGCACCTTTGGGTAGCAACGTAGGCTTTTCAATAAATCAAAAATCTTATTATTATACCAAACGTTATAGCTAGTAGTAGCGATCAATTAGTGTCACATTTCGATGGCAGAATATTGGATTTTGCCGTCCAAGTAACACCCAACAATCTGTAAATAAGGTGGTGAGCTGAGGAATGTCCAATCCTATTATTAATTTAGACTTTTAATTAAGATGAGACGTTTAATCTAAATATTTATGACTTCATTCAAACTAAAAGTGGATACATATATAAGGGTTATAACAACTGTCGTCTGGTAGGGCTAATTTAATTTGATTGTGAGACAAGGTCGTTAACGCGTAGGGCCTTTTCAATATGGAAATGCAAAGGAATCTGCAGGAGGAATGAAATTTTCCTCACTTTCTAGTTAAGGTTGGCAATAGCTAGCTAGCATTGGTTAAATCTGAGATTAATCAAACTCACTCGTTGAAAGCTGGAAGTGTAACATCAATATGCACTTCTAAAATGACTTGGTCAAAGATTACTTGGGCTAGATCAAGAAATTCAGAGTTTGTAATCAAGAACACTATTGACATTTTTACAAGATCATATATAACTTACTCATTAATATGTTGAGAGTATTCTAGATTTAGCTATTATTTAACCATGTTTGTTATAAAAATAAGTTATACATTACGTCAGTTAAGGTTCATACTCGGCCCACTCAACATTGAGAAACATATATTAGGGTGTAAGTGTAATGTTGAGAAAACTTTTCACTCTTAGGGACTTTGACTTAATCAACGAGCAAAGATACATATAACATCATCAATTTTTTAATCTAATATAATAAAAAGAAGAATTTGTTTTGCTCTATACAACATAATGTATTTTAACTAACAAATAAATACATAATAATCAACAATTACTACAATACTATTTTTCAATATAAACATAAGTGAACAAATAAATAAGCTTTGTTTCCATCTTATATTTCAACCCCATATACCAAATGGTGTATTGGTATTTGCTCTGCTTGGTCACACTGCTAGCTAGCAATTGCAAAGCAAAAGTGAAATATTAGCCACTCTATATACAATCAAATAAAATCATGTCTCAATTATATATAGTTTCATATAATTTTTTTTTAAATAAAATGTATAGAATAAATACATCTAATCAACCCCTAGGCTGGCCCCAAGTCCTGCAAGAATTCCTATTAAAACGTATGAAATATATTACAATATTGAAGTTGCAACGTCGAAGCCGGCCAGGACTATAAAAATACATAAAGAAAACTACAAAAGTAATGTATGTAAACAAATAAACAATACACTCATTTTATTAATTAAAACCCTAGCTAAAAACTACTTGAGTGTAAACGATAAAGGTCATAAAACTAGTAATCACTTACTACCTAGACTTCCTCAAGAAACCACGTATTTACCGACCAACATCGGAACTCCGATCCAAAACTCCCTTGTCGGCCCGATATGAGCATCATCGCCGCCGCCGCAACTACTACTGATCAAAAGGGCAGCAACCATTCCGACACGTCAAGCGACGAGGCCGATCGCCGCCGTGGAACGGAGAGACCCGCCGCCGCTGTCGGCCGGTCGTACGAGTGCACGTTTTGCAAGAGAGGGTTCACTAACGCGCAGGCCCTGGGAGGGCACATGAACATTCATCGGAAGGACAAACTGAAGGCCAAGCAAAAATCTAATATTAATATTCCTCAACGACAACAACAACAAGGATCTTCACTACCCTCAAGCTACCTCGTACAAATTCCGACCGACCAACAACGTTTTTATCCGTCTCCGAGGGCACAACATGTGGGATACCTGTTTTACCCTAGCTACCACCAGCAAGTTGTTGTCGACGAGGGTTTGAAGGCGGAGAGTTTAGGGGTGCATGGGGATTTAATGGGTGCGAATCTTACACTGAGGATTGGTCCTCAAAGGGAAGAAGAAGATGGTGGAGGAGAAAGCAAGAAGAAGGAAGAATTATTGGAGGAAAATGAAGAAGAAGAAGTGGATTTGGAGCTTCGACTCGGCCATCACAAGTACTCCTAATTATACTCAAAACCTCTCCTCTCCTTTGTTTCCTTGCTAGCTTTATACATACACAATGTTACCTTGAAGAAAGGGTAGTCTGAAAATTGCTTCAATTCAAAGAAATTTGTGTATATACATGTATTGCACACACACACATTCATATGAGTTTTGGTGTGGCTGTGTGTGTGTGTGTGTATCTATGTTTTTTTCCTTTTCTGTATTTTGATTGATTATATTCAAGTTCTATATATATAGTTTCATCCTTTAGTCTATTGTTTGACATGCTGCAGGTTTCTATGCTTTTATGTTGTCATCATTTCATACACAATTTTCCACATATATCATCACATTTTTTGCACATGCAATGGGATTGACTTTAATTTGAACATGATACTTTATATTCATGAGCAATATATATAATATAATATAATGCTAGCCATTTCTCCAATTTTTTTTTTTTTTTCTAATATGACAGTATTTGATTAGACACTTTAGTCTTTGATTACAAATTGGTAGAGTCCGCCAATTCATGATGAGCATTCAATGAGTTAAGCGAGGCCACCTCATGAGAAAATATGAGAGGGGTAAAACGCATTTCTCTATGTATATCTCAAAGACTCCATCCATCTTTTATTACTCTTGAAATCATTTCCATTGCAAAGGTTAAGAAAAACCATGGAATTTTCAACTTATTATGGCCAAATTAAGATCCACCAATCACTATGCATATATATATAACAATCTTTTGTTATTTAACATATATAGCATACTCATTTTGTTATTAATTGTAAGATTTTCAAAATGGTTATATATACTTTTTATAGTAAATATGGAACCCTAATATACTATAATAAGCAATTTCTAAAGCACCAATTTGCATCTGCACCCTTTACACCCAAGTACAACCAAACATGGTATAACTAGTTGCACCTATATCTAGTGTCAATCTATCTGTCCAATTAGTATTGTAAACTTTTTTTTATAGGGGAGCAACCCAAAAGTTGGTCAAACAGTTAATTTGTTAATTACAATAATGTTCAAAATTTGACTCTTTATGTGAGCTATCTATTGCTTTGAGCCTTCACCTAGAGTTACCTCTTGGGTTGCGGATACAAATTTTATGCAAATCAAAGTACTATAAACTTTTCCCATAATAAGTGATGTATTCTTCCCAAACGCAAATCAAAGTACTATAAACAAGAGAGTGATATATTCTTCATTACTGAAACTTGATCACTCTTCAAATAATTATCATTTGGGATTAAAAAACACATACTACGCATCCGAATTAAATGCCCTTTTCACAAACATAGATATATGAGCTAGTATTTTGTTCTATTCCGCTGGCCATTTTTGTTTTAATGTTGTGACATAGTCGTCGTACCCTAATTGTAGTACGTAAAAAGCACTATCATATCATAGTAAAGTAACAATGTTTGGTTATATCAAGAACCACTTAGCAGATGGGCATCCACTAAAAGCACACTACTCTTGTTGATAAATTTGGATGTAGTATTATGAGCCTTCAATTTCTGAGGAATTTGTTATAGGATACCCCGATGGGATCTTTCAATTCTGCACTTGTAGTTATTCCCTCTTAGCGGTGACTAAGGAATCTTCGACGCGTAGGTTCTTAGTGTTTTTCTCCATGATATGCATGCACCACGCACACATTAAAGATAACCTTGAAAATTCTACTGTCAAAGTGTGCTTTAATATAATACGGAGTATATAATATAATTATATTAATGATACTTAGTGGTTTAAACTAGTATTTTCCAGTAATATATGCTCAGTCACGCAGTGGGAGTGGATAATGATTCTTGATTTTAGTTTTGTATGGTTGTCTTATTGATGATGAGATGATCATCATCATATCACTGCTGAAAATTATGAAATTTTCGACCATCTGAAAATTATCTTAAATCAAGTCGAAAGTCTTGTTCCGACCACTTTTGGTATCCAAAAAAACCTTGGTTGCTATTTCCGACCACTTTTTGCTTTCAACTTGATTTAAGATCACTTTCAGGTGATCGGAAATTTCATAATTTCCAATAATAATACTATGTGTATATATATATATATATATATATATATATATATATATATATATATATATATATATATATATATATATATATATATATATATATATATATATATATATATATATATATATATATATATATATACACTATGGATTTTGCGACAAGGAGTTGTTTTGATAACATTGTATACAGTTTCGAGATTGGGATTACAATATAATAAATCAAAGTATGTAGTAGAACAAAATTTATATGGATAAAGTCGACCTAGTACGAAGTGTCAAACTAGCTAGTACATAGTAATAATATCTGTCTAACGTAATGTCAATCCTAATTAAAATAAGACTCGAACTTGAAATATGTATTGCATTCATTACTCTAAGTACTTGTATTTTGTTTATAACTTGACAAGATTCCCCTAGGAACTACCACCTCTACTTTGCTGGTTTTAATATAGTTTTTACCATAATTATCTATTGAGTGAGACATTACCACATATTTTTATCATTTCTTGGCTCTATATGGATGATGAAAAAAAAATCCTAAGATACTAACTCAATTATTGTACACGTGTCTTTCTTAACAAGAATTACTTATCCCTTCGATACTAAAATATATATACAAACAAATTTGTTCACTAAAACTTGAACTAATTTTAAGCGAGGGTTCTGTCTTTTAACCATTAGACACATAATACGGCCCAAAGACATGCTGGCGGCAAATTATTCTGTGGATTACGGTCTAAAATAATGTCGTTTTGATATTAAAAAGTAAAAACTTTATTCTGTGCACGTGTTAGAATAATAAACTTTTTAAGGTATGATAATATATTTATAAGTTAGAATAATAAAATGTACTTTTATGTATTAGAATAATGAAATTTTTAGATAAGACAATGTATTTTATGAATTAGAATAATGTATATTGTACTTTATGTGCTAAAATAATGAAATTTCTAGAGTAAAATAATATATTTTATGAATTAGAATAATATACTTTATAAATTAAAATAATGTACTTTATGTGTTCGTAGACCATGGTTCACACAACTGTATGCAATAATGAATGCATGCTGGCGGCAATTTATATCCTACACCACGGCGCGCGTTGCACTATGCGCCCAGATGCAAAACGACGTCGTTTTAATTTTTTTTTTTTTTGAAATTTCCCGCCCCAGTGAATGGCAGTAGTTTTTTCTTAAAAAAAAACCCGCTGTTTAAGAATGTACATAATGTTATACTAGAATACACATAATGTTATACATGAATGTACATAATTATATAACAAAATATACATACTCTTTTTAAAAGATAATACACATAATCTAACATAATACATAATAAACATAAACTTTTAACATAATACACATCAACTCTTAACATAATACACACAAATTTTCTGATTCGGATGTACATAATTGTATAAAAAGAATGTACATAATTGTATAAAAAATACACATAACTGTATGAACAATACACATAACGTTGTGAACAAATACACATAACGTTGTGAACAAATACACATAATCTCAGCAACTTCTTACCGCGCCTCCCAACACTACCCCAAAACGACGTCGTTTTGGGAGACGTGCGGCACACAGTGCTATGTGCGCCGTGGTGTAGGATATAACGATTGCATGCTGGCAGGTGAAGATCTAAATTATAGCCCAAATGCCTTTGTCGGCCCAAGTTGAAAAACAACATTATTTTGCCATCTGATGCCACCACGGTCCAATTATTTTACCATGAATCAAGTTTCACATTGCATTGTAGATTCTTATTAAAAAAGTTGTGAAATTCGTGAAAATTAGCCCAGAGTCTGATCACTTATAAGTAGTCTTAAGTATTAGTTAAATCGAAAATGTAGTGGATACTCTTTTAGTCTTTTTCATGACTACAACTTCTTAGAAGAAAATTTTCAGTAATACAAATTTAATCAACAACAAAAAAAAAATCTGCATAGCAAATCCAAAAAATTGGTCCATGCAGTAAGAATATCAATCATTATGCTGTGCATCCGTGTGCACTATGCATGGTGCATACGGATGCAAAAACGATGTCGTTTTGACTAAAAACGCGCGTTCCACTTTTTAAAAAAATATTCAGTTTCGATTCCCCTCAACAGCATTATGTTGTTCATTCATTCTGGATTTTTAGTTTATTTATTCAGGATTTTTAGTTTATTGATTCTGGATTTTTAGACGAAAATCGAAACTGATTTTTTTTTTTTTTCATTCATGCTGGATATTTAGTTCATTCATTATGGATATTTACTTCATTCATTATGAATTTTTAATTCATTCATTATGAATTTTTAGTTCATTAATTCTGGATTTTTGAGTTTTTTTTAAGTGGACGCGCGTTTTTAGTCAAAACGACGTCGTTTTTGCATCCGTGTGCACCATGCATGGTGCACACGGATGCACGCATAATTTGCCGTAAGAATATCTGCTTCCACTCTACATGACCTTACGGACTTTGATAGTTCATCTTCTTGCAAAAGTTGAAGCAACATATCTTATGAATTTTTGTGTCTTGTGTTGTACAATTTTGTGCCTACAAATACAAATTTTGTATCTAAATCAGATTTAAAAAATAAGTAAACATATAACATGTGTATATGTCGTGTTATGAAATTTTGTACCTTACGAATTTGAATTTTGTACCCCGTTGTTTCAATCCATGGTCTATAATGTTATGTGAACCTTGGTCCATGATATAAATTGCCCTCAATCCAAGAATACGAACTCAAAAATTTGTTAGTGTTGACGACTATAAGTCCAAGAAGCTATGTTTATTTATTTGGCTAGTGGACTAAAATCAACGAGCAACAACAAGAATATCATTTTACAAATAATGGTAGTTATTCAATTCTC